TGTGAGCAAGTTGTGTGTGTGAGCAAGTTGTGTGTGAGCAAGTTGTGTGTGAGCAAGTTGTGTGTGGACAAGTTGTGTGTGAGTAAGTTGTGTGTGAGCAAGTTGTGTGTGGAGTAAGTTGTGTGTGAGCAAGTTGTGTGTGAGCAAGTTGTCTGTGGACAAGTTGTGTGTGGACAAGTTGTGTGTGGACAAGTTGTGTGTGAGCAAGTTGTGCGTGTGGACAAGTTGTGTGTGAGCAAGTTGTGTGTGAACAAGTAGTGTGTGAGCAAGTTGTGTGTGGACAAGTTGTGTGTGAGCAAGTTGTGTGTGGACAAGTTGTGTGTGAGCAAGTTGTGTGTGGACAAGTTGTGTGTGAGCAAGTTGTGTGTGGACAAGTTGTGTGTGGACAAGTTGTGTGCGAGTAAGCTGTGTGTGTGTGAGCAAGTTGTGTGTGAGCAAGTTGTGTGTGAGCAAGTTGTGTGTGGTGTGAGCAAGTTGTGTGTGGACAAGTTGTGTGTGAGCAAGTTGTGTGTGAGTAATTTGTGTGTGTGAGCAAGTTGTGTGTGGACAAGTTGTGTGTGAGCAAGCTGTGTGTGGACAAGTCGTGTGTAAGCAAGTTGTGTGTGGACAAGTTGTGTGTGAGCAAGTTGTGTGTGTGTGGACAAGTTGTGTGTGAGCAAGTTGTGTGTGGACAAGTTGTGTGTGAGCAAGTTGTGTGTGGACAAGTTGTGTGTGAGTAAGTTGTGTGTGAGCAAGTTGTGTGTGAGCAAGTTGTGTGTGAGCAAGTTGTGTGTGAGTAAGTTGTGTGTGGACAAGCTGTGTGTGAGTAAGTTGTGTGTGTGAGCAAGTTGTATGTGAGAAAGTTGTGTGCGGACAAGTTGTGTGTGTGAGCAAGTTGTGTGTGAGTAAGTTGTGTGTGGACAAGTTATGTGTGAGTAAGTTGTGTGTGAGCAAGTTGTGTGTGAGTAAGTTGTGTGAGCAAGTTGTGTGTGAGCAAGTTGTGTATGTGAGTAAGTTGTGTGTGATTAAGCTGTGTGTGTGAGTAAGTTGTGTGTGAGCAAGTTGTGTGTGAGCAAGTTGTGTGTGAGTAAGTTGTGTGTGGACAAGTTGTGTGTGTGAGCAAGTTGTGTGTGATCATGTTGTGTGTGAGCAAGTTGTGTGTGAGTAATTAGTGTGTGAGCAAGTTGTGTGTGGACAAGTTGTGTGTGTGAGCAAGTTGTGTGTGGACAAGTTGTGTGTGAGCAAGTTGTGTGTGAGCAAGTTGTGTGTGAGCAAGTTGTGTGTGCGTAAGTTGTGTGTGCGTAAGTTGTGTGTGATTAAGTTGTGTGTGAGTAAGTTGTGTGTGAGTAAGTTGTGTGTGAGTAAGTTGTGTGTGAGTAAGTTGTGTGTGAGCAAGCTGTGTGTGAGCAAGCTGTGTGTGAGCAAGTTGCGTGTGGACAAGTTGTATGTGGACAAGTTGTGTGTGTGTGAGTAAGTTCTGTGTGATTATAGTAAGTTGTTTGTGTCTGAGTAAGTTGTGTGTGAGCAAGTTGTGTGTGAGTAAGTTGTGTGTGAGTAAGTTGTGTGTGGACAAGTTGTGTGTGAGCAAGTTGTGTGTGTGAGCAAGTTGTGTGTGGACAAGTTGTGTGTGGACAAGTTGTGTGTGTGAGCAAGTTGTGTGTGAGCAAGTTGTGTGTGAGCAAGTTGTGTGTGAGCAAGTTGTGTGTGAGCAAGTTGTGTGTGAGTAAGTTGTGTGTGAGCAAGTTGTGTGTGTGAGTAAGTTGTGTGTGAGCAAGTTGTGTGTGAGTAAGTTGTGTGTGTGAGCAAGTTGTGTGTGAGTAAGTTGTGTGTGAGCAAGTTGTGTGTGAGTAAGTTGTGTGTGAGCAAGTTGTGTGTGGACAAGTTGTGCGGAGGAGGCGGGAGGAGGCGGGATGAGGAAGCGCGCGGGAGTGCACAACCAAAAACAAGAACCCCACACAAAGATGCGGGGAAAAAATGACAAAGCCCAAGCGAGAGGCCAGAGCGCGAACCCTGATCTAACCCCGGCCTCAACACCTACCGTAAGAACCCCTCAGTGTGGACACACTGCTTGGTGAATAAAATGTCAACAACGCAAAACTGAAAGCTCAAGCACTTGAAGTTGCAAAAGAAGAACGACCCAAACGGAAAAGGCCTGAGCTCAGGGCAATCACAAAGCGCTTTTGCCACAACATGATTGCTGCTTCGTACCACCACCTCAGCAAGCTAACAAGATCTTGTGGCTAACCAGCTGCCTTGACTCTAGCCATCCACTGAGCACGACTGAGAACCAGCATGCTAGACGCGATTAGACTAGCTGCTTGACTTATTAGTTTTTTCTGGGCAAAGGACCCTTGCTTTCCCAGTGAACCGACCACTTCCAACCTGCGTGCCCAAGTGGGGTGCAGCGGGGGAACTTCTGAACGGATTTTAATGAGCCCCTGGCCACGAGCAGATTTTAAATGAGAACCCCCCATATGCACCTCCACACGCATCAGGGAAAGACCTCCATCTGGGTCAGCAGACTGAGGAGCGGAGTCATGTCCTCCGAGTTGCCACCCCTCAAGTCACTGAATGAAAACTACAAAAGCTGGCAGTTTCACCTGCCTCGTGGATTGACGCCGGCCAGCATGGAGACCTGGACATACAAAATGCAGCAAGCGGTGGGGCCAAGTGCCAAGTGTATCCAAATGTCTCTTGTAGAATCTGGAAGTGTTCTCGGGGCAAATACGACGAGGCTGCAACCATCACAAAGTTGTCAGCATTGCTGTCGATGCCATGATGTCTGGCATTCAAAGCTGGGTATCCACTGTGGGATGGTTTTGAGGTGTCGGGTAATAAAGTGATATAAAGTGCGTGTGTCTTGTCGGAGGTACTGAGACTGTTCACAACAACATGCACAAGCGCCTGAATGAGGTGGGGTCGGGGTACAGTAATAATCTTTATCACACTTGCATTTGGGGCCGCAAATGCAACGCGCACTTACACCCAGTTGATGCTGCACCACAGTTTCGCTGTCAGGCCGGGTGGGGTGGGGAAGGGGAATCGCACAAATATATAGATAGGCAGACAAACAGACAGATGGAGAGACAGAGACAGAAAGACAGACACGCAGAGACCCAGACAGACACAAATGAAACAGACAGACCCAAACAGACCCAAACAAATACAGACAGGCATAGACAGAGACAGACAGGCACAGACAGAGACGGACAGAGACCGACAGCGACAGACAGCGATAGACAAGGACACAGAGAGAGAGAGACAGAGACAGAGACGCAGACAGAGACAGAGACAGAGACAGACAAACGCAGCCGGGCCAGCAGCCATTCCTTAGGGCCTTAGGGCCTTTGGGGTGTGGTGGGTTGGGGATGTGCACGGGGAATCATGTGCCTTCCAGGCAATCAACACTGCTAAGCTTGCACTTGCCACGGATGCTACGCTGACTACTGTCCTTTGCAGTTGCTAGCGATTTAGCGCTGCTGCTATTGAACGTACTCTCTCAAACCCTTCCTCGCCCGCGGTCGAAACTTTGTGCTGAAAACCACCTGGAACAAGTAGTTGAGGAGGAGGCTTTAAAGTCAGAACCTGCTGACTGGAGACCATAAAGTTTTTTACACATTTGATGACGCATCCCACTATGTATATGAACTGGGATCTCCACTCACAAACCAGATCAGACTCATCTATATAATAAAATATCATATATTATATTATATTCATATATAATATATACACGGCACATACATGCTACATGAACTATTTATACATGTGTATAATATATATATATACATATATGCATGTATATATATATATGCATGTAAATTATACAACATATAGTCCCCACAGAGTGCCCAACATGTTGAAATACCACATGACATGGCCAAATAAAAGAACAGGTTTCTAGTTTCTTATCGTGGTGCTGTTGCTGCAACGCCACTTTGGCTGGAAGCAAGCATTCTGAATCAGGACCATATATAAAGTACTACAATGTCAAGGCTCACGTGGCTCAACACCCAAAAGCATTGACAATTGAGCCCAAAGTGAAACAACGGATACATAAATAAACATCTGAGACAAACATATCGGCACAGACATCTGCACTGCAAATTGCCGAGTTGCAATCGGAATGCCCCGCCAAAAACAATGCACCTCCCACAGAGTACTCTGGTCTGATATTGTGGCAATGGAAAGCCACATCCACATCTGACACGCGCCCCATGGGGGAAAAAAGCGTCCTTGCTATGTTGACCAGTGGACCACGAAGCCGTTCTGCCAAATGCACGACGCTTGTTACCTCCAAATTGGAAGCGCAGTACACAACTTTCCGTGTTTGAACTCTGCTTGAAATCTTCCCCGTTAAGGCATTGCATTTGACTCTCTGCAGCCTCGTTGAGAACGAAGTGCTGCTGCCTTCAGCCAGGCGCAGCATTTCTCTAACACAATGTCTGTTTGCAGGACCTGCCTCCAATAGCGAAAGAAGTCTTGCTGAGAAAGGTCGCGTCCGACCTAAAAGCTGCGGCATTCAATCAGCTGAGCAAACTTTCAAATTTGCAAAACAGGAACATGCGAATTTCATACGCCACCTGTAGTGAAGACCCAAGCTCCACACCATAAACTTCGGTAAAATTATCGGAAACTTTAGCTGTATCCTACAGATGACATCGTGATAGGGTGGCAAACAGAAGTCAGCGCACACTTTTTTTTCTATTTGCAGATACGTCGGATCAAAGACTGCATGTGGACCATGATACGAAGTTTCCAGAGTTTGTGCAGTTGAGTCTATCAATGTCTTGGTTCCAGGTCATGTACCTGCCTTCTTGGGCTTGCATCAGGTCTGGCACGTCAAGTCTGAAAAAGGTCTACCTACCTAGCTCAGTTATGCTCAGCTACTCCAGTGACTACAAGTACCGAAACATCAGGAAGTATCGCTGAACAAACATGCCCGATTGGCAAAAGAAACTGGAGCCGCAGCCATGGATACTCGGAAAATGGTTCCAACAATGTTACCTGCAATCGCTGCCTCAGACCCACACGCAAAGCAACCAGGAATATGCAAAGTCTCCAACATTGCATTTCCCCTGCTTGAGTTTCAAACACGATTTGCTCGTCTGCCTCCAAGTGCTGGTTCAGGGGAGATGCCACCACTTTTAGGGCGTTTTCCTCACAAACACGGTGTAAGTTCGTTCGATCCTTTTTAGACCCTGCACTGGAAAAACCATTCGATGCACACTGGCTGTTGTCCAGAGTTCCCAGCATACAGAATTTATTTGTTACAAAATGTTATGTACGTGTATGTGAATAATGTGGGATACAGATTAGTATGGGGATACACAATTGTGTCCACAGACTCCAAAATAATTGTGTATCTTTGGAAATGATCGAGGGGTACAGTTTTGTGTCCACAGGATTTTGGAGTAATTTTTCAGTTTTTTTTTATTTGATTTAAATTATTTTATATTTTTGTTTATTTGTTTAAAATTGATAATTAATTACCATTAAAAAAATATTCAATTTTTAATTTGACAATTTTAAACAGTATATTTATTGTCTCAGGATACACTATTGTGTCTTGGTCTTGTGTCTGGGGTACACTATTGTGTCTTGGTCTTGTTTCTGTTCAAACATTTTTCATTTTTTATTTTTTACTTTTTATTTCCCATCATTGAAATTTTCCAATGTCCTTCCACAGAAAATACATCCAGTTCCACAATAGTATGGGGATACACTATTGTGTCCAGCTGCTTTCCTGAGGTGATGATTTTGAATTTTTCAATCATGTCCTTTACCTTTTCCTTTGCTAAAGGGTTTTTTCCTTTTAATTAACTACTTTCTTAGTTTCTTTCATTTGAAATTCTCAGAAATGCCAAATTTCCCAAAATATATGATGCCTTATTAAAACCCAATTAAAAAACATCACTCAAACAATTTTTCAAGGGGGTAGTCCATGAGCAACCCTGATCCACAATAGTGTGGTTTGTTTGGGGGGTACACGATTGTGTCCTGCTGTTTCCTGAGGTGATTTTGTTTTTTTTTGCAATCATTTCCTTTGCCTTTTCCTTTGCTAAAGTTTTTGTCCTTTTAATTAGTTATTTTCTTAGTTTCTTTCATTTGAGATGCTGAGAAATGCCCAATTTCCCAAAATAAATGACACCTTATTAAAACCAAATTAAAAACCATCACCCAAACAATTTTTCAAGGGGGTAGTCCATGAGCAAAGCTGATCCACAATAGTGTGGTTTGTTTGGGGGGTACACTATTGTGTCCAGCTGTTTCCTGGGGTGATTTTTTTTCAAGCAATCCCTTCACCTTTTCCTTTGCTAAAGTTGTTCTTTTACTTCCTAAATGTTCTTAATTAGTTTCTTTCATTTGAAATTCTCAGAAGCGCCCAATTCGCCAAAATATATGATGCCTTATTTAAAACCAAATTTAAAAACATCACTCAAACAATTTTTCAAGAGTGTAGTCCATGAGCAACCCTGATCCACAATAGTGTGGTTTGTTTGGGGGGTACACTATTGTGTCCAGATGCTTCCTGGGGTGGTTTTGTTTCAAACAATCCCTTTACCTTTTCCTTTGCTAAAGTTGTTCTTTTACTTCCTAAATGTTCTTAATTAGTTTCTTACGTTTGAAAATTCTCAGAAGTGCCCAATTCCCCAAAATATATGACACCTTATCCGCCGACCCTGTCCTAGCTGTGGCCTAGGCAGGGCGGCGCCTGGGACCACCTTTGGTGTGGGGCTAACCCTCCGCAGCGGCTCCGCACAGCTTGCAAACGCGCTGCTGTGGCCACCACCTGTGCCGGCAGACTGTTCAAGTGTGCCATTTGGCCGCCCTAAACGGTGTAAACCCTCCGCGGCGGCTCCACACAGCTTGCAAACGCTCTACCACCTGTGCCGGTTGACTCTTTTCTTGGGGGTTCAATTGTGCCGTTTGGCCGCCTTAAAAGGCTGCGCAGCGGCTCCACACAGCTTGCAAACGCGCTGCTGTGGCCACCACCTGTGCCGGCAGACTCTTTTCTTGCGCGTTCAAGTGTGCCGTTTGGCTGCCTTAAAAGGCTCCGCAGCGGCTCCACACAGCTTGCAAACGCGCTGCTGTGGCCACCACCGCAGCGGCTCCACACAGCTTGCAAACGCGCTGCTGTGGCCACCACCTGTGCCGGCAGACTCTTTTCTTGGGGGTTCAAGTGTGCCGTTTGGCCGCCTTAAAAGGCTGCGCAGCGGCTCCACACTTTGATGTTCTGGGGGCTTGCTAACATGTTATGGCAATTAAGATGTTTAGCTAACTATTTCATAACTATTTATAACTAGTTAGCTAACTAGTTAGCTTTTTGAAAAAACATAGCTCTCGGCCTTGTTTTTTTCATTTTGGATTTCAAAAAGATTGCACATGGTCAGTTTTTTCCCCACCTGCCAGGTGAGGGTTGTTAGATTTTATGTCAGTTGCCTCCTCCTCCTCCTCTCCTCCTTCTCCTCCTCCTTCTCCTCCTCGTCCTCCTGCTCAACTGCGACTCGCGATCCACAGTGTTCGCTGTCGGACCTCAACCACGACCATCCACGCCCAGTGTTCCCTGCCGGACCTCAACCACGACCATCCACGCCCAGTGTTCCCTGCCGGACCTCAACCACGACCATCCACGCCCAGTGTTCCCTGCCGGACCTCAACCACGACCATACACGCCCAGTGTTCCCTGCCGGACCTCAACCACGACCATCCGCGCCCAGTGTTCCCTGCCGGACCTCAACCGCGAGTATCCATGCCAAGTGTTCCCTGCCGGACCTCATGTAGGAATGTCAGATAGACTGCCAGATAGAATGCCAGATAGAATGTCAGATAGGATGCCAGATAGAATGCCAGATAGAATGCCAGAAAGAATGCCAGAAAGAAGATGCCAGATAGAATGCCAGATAGAATGTCAGATAGGATGCCAGATAGAATGCCAGATAGAATGCCAGAAAGAATGCCAGAAAGAATGCCAGATAGACTGCCAGATAGAATGTCAGATAGAATGTCAGATATAATGCCAGATAGAATGCCAACATATATGCCAGAATATATGTCAGATAGAATGCCAAAATATATGTCAGATATAATGCCAGATAGAATGCCAGAATATATGCCAGAATATATGTCAGATAGAATGCCAGAATATATGTCAGATATAATGCCAGATAGAATGCCAACATATATGCCAGAATATATGTCAGATAGAATGCCAAAATATATGTCAGATATAATGCCAGATAGAATGCCAGAATATATGCCAGAATATATGTCAGATAGAATGCCAGAATATATGTCAGAATAAATGACAGGTAGAATGCCAGAATATATGTCAGATGAAATGTCAGAAAATATGTCAGATAGAATGCCAGATAGACTGCCAGATAGAATGCCAGGTGGAATGTCAGGATATATGCCAGATAGAATGCCAGAATATATATGTCAGATAGGATGTCAGAATATACTAAATATATGTCCAAATATACGTCCTGACATGTCATGGTGGGGATCACACGAAGTAGAGTAATTTTTTTTAATATGACAGCTGGGCATTCAAATGTTCAAAGGCCCAACCATTTTTTGACACCTTAGCTAATCTGCTTTGCAAGATTCAGGCCAAGAATATTCAAATCTTGGGTCTTGTGAAACTTGTGCATGCATAGGCCCCAGGTTCATTTTTTCCAAGGCTGCATGCAAAATATCTAGCTTGCAGAAGCTGAAATATGAGCTTTCAAAAGCTGGAAAGGCAGCTTGTAGAAGCCAGGAAGGGCTGTATTGAGCTTGCACAAGCTAAAGCTGACATGCCCTTGCATCAATTCACTGAGCTGCCAGAAGCTGAGACCACTGAGCTTGCAGAAGCTAAGTTCATCCAAGCTTGTAGAAGCTGTATTGCAACGAGCTAGCTGCAGCACATGGTTTTGTCATTTAAAGCATGAAAGTGGTGCTGGGGTCAGACATGTTACTTTGCCATTCTTCCCAAAGTTGTGAACCACTGGCTGCACCAATTCTTCAAGCAGGGCGAGTTCCAAGCAATCAGTTGAGCTGTGCCACATGGTTGCATGCTTGCCCTTCGTGTCAATGAATGTGAACATTTCCAATAAGCACACTTGTACTCCAGCAAGCAAGAGGTGCTTCACCTTGCCACACCTCCAAGGGAAGCCACCCATGCCACCTTGCAAGAACACAACATCCCCAAGTGAGCAAGAAGACCCAGAGGCAAGCTTGCATTCAGTTGCACTTTGCAGTCCTTCAAAAAAGAAATTGAGCTCCTTCAGCTTTTCCACCAGTTTCTTTGGTAGTGGTCGAGGGTTGATCAGATGGCAACTTGTATTGAAAAGGTCTGTGTCATTGAGCAAAGTATGGATCTGCTGAACAGTGACTGAGGTCAAAACGCCTTTGTCAAAGCTTGACAAATTGCAATGTGCACTGCCATACCTCCTGGGGAGCTTGTGCTTCCTCTCCATTGCCCAGCAAGCAGGCATCTGCCTCCAGCGCCCAAAGCAATCACTGTAATGCAATGTCCAATGGTGCTTGGGTTTCATCTCTTCACCATATCCAGCATTCTTTGTTGCTTCCAATGCATTTTCAACCAAGGTCAACAAATCTGCAGGCAAAGCATTTGGAAGATGTGGGATAGAGACCAAAAAGTCCAACACCTGTGCCCAAGCATCAAAGCATGCACAAACTTCAAGCATCACATTGTTGGCTGAAAACATCACTTCAAGAAAATATTGCAAAGGTTTGTACAAAGTCAACATCTCAGAAGCTGAGCATTTGAAATGCCTAGCTTTCCTGCAGCTTGCAGCCTTTGGCTTTTCAAAAAGCTTTGACAGATTAAAGCTGCTTTGCTGCTGAGGCAAAACCCACAGCGCCAACCAAGAATGAAGAGTGTCCCAAACTTTGTATCCAGCTGCATCTAAGCTCTCCAAAACTGCAAAGACAATGTCATTGAGAACCCCATTGGAACACAACCCATGCATCCAATCAAAGCAGTAGAGGGAAGCAGGCTTCAGCAAGCCTGCTGCTTTCAAGGCTGGGCTTGCCATCAATGCATGATGGCTCCAAGAAATGCCTGAAGCTTGCTGCCATCTCTGGAATTCCTTTGCTGTGGAAGTTCTGCTCTTGGCTTCTATCCTGGACCAGGCTTCCAGGAGTTCATCATCTTTGGCAATGTCTAGCTGGGAATATTTGACATACTGGCTGAATATTTTGTCAGCTGGTTCACCTTCACCATGGTCATGCCTTAAATGAAAAAGGTTCTTGCACAACATGCAAGGCTTTGAACCACTGTCTTGGCGGTTTGCCCAAACAGCCTTCTGAGCAGCTCCATCTTGCAAAAACATTCCCAGTGTAAAAAAAAGTCTCACATTTCCCTTGGCACTTGAAAGCAGCACACCAGTTTGAGGCTGATCATGAGCAAAAAGCCTTTCAAGTAAGAGTCGAACTACTTGGCTGATGCCTGCTTCCAGTAGCTGAACTTCTGAGCTCCTCACAACAAAGAGGCAAATCCAAAGGTCTTCTTTGGACAGCATGGATCCTAGCTCCAAAAACGACATGTAGCAACACCATGCTTTTCTCCCACTGCTGTTGAGGATGTTTCCTGGGTGGACTTCATCCACATACACCACGGCTTTCCATGGCTGAGTGGCACTTGAAGGCTTCAGACTGTGGAATTTGAGCAGCCAATCAGTAAATGAACCACATTTGTGGCACACACCAGCCAAGAAGGGCAGAATATTCACATAGAAGATCTCCAAGTGTGAGCCTGTCTCCAAAGCACCTGATATGCTCTGCTTTTCTGGCAGCACTTGTGCAGCCATTGTTTGCAAAAGAGGACCATATTTGCACATTGCAGTGCTTTCCAGCAAGTCTTTGTTTTCTTTCCAAATGTCTTGCCTTCTCTTCTGGTCTGGCAAGCCATGCTTCTCAATTTCCTTACAGATCAAACTCAAAGCACTCTGTGAGCAATAAGGCACAGCATTTCTCAAGTCACTGATTTTCCTCCTTTTGGAAGGTTCACCACCATCCTCCATGGTGCATTGAAAGGGTGCATGGCTTTGCTGCAGCAGCTACAGAAACATGGTATAGCTTGAATTCAAGTAGTCATCCAATAAAGTTGCTGTGGTCAGCTGTGTATGCTTCCTCCTACCTATTTCTTTGTCAAACTGGCTTGCATGCTGTCACAAGTGACTGCCTTGAAATGAAGCTGCTGAAAAACAAATTGGCGAGTTCTAGCTGTGCCAAAAGCCTTGCATGTGAAGAAGTTGAAGCTTGCCATCACTGGCTCAATGGGGTGAAGTTGTAAAACTGGAGCTGCAGGAATGTGCAGACAGCCAGCAAAAAGCAAGGGTGAAGTTGGGAAAACTGGAGCTGCAAGAATGTGCAGACAACCAGCAAAAAGCAGTTATTATGGAATGAGAGGGTGAAGTTGGGAAAACTGGAGTTGCAGGAATGTGCAGGCAAGCAGCAAAAAGAAGTTATTATGGATTGAAAGGGTGGAGTTGGGGAAACTGGAGCCGCAGGAATGTGCAGACAACCAGCAAAAAGAAAGGGTGAAGTTGGGAAAACTGGAGCTGCAGGAATGTGCAGACAACCAGCAAAAAGCAGTTATTATGGAATGAGAGGGTGAAGTTGGGAAAACTGGAGTTGCAGGAATGTGCAGGCAAGCAGCAAAAAGAAGTTATTATGGATTGAAAGGGTGAAGTTGGGGAAACTGAAGCTGCAGGAATGGGCAGACAACCAGCAAAAAGAAGTTATTATGGAATTCTGAACAAACTTGCGCACATGAGCCTGCATTGGCATGCAGATGTGACATGAGCCTGCACAGGCTTGAGAGCACATGAGCCTGCAGAGGCTGTAGCAAAACACGCCTATAAAGGGTGCAAAGATTTTCCCTCATTTTGGAAGCCCCAACCTGATGTCACCTTGTCAGATGTTCCAGCACAGTCCTTAAGCTGTGTAAACTTACCCAGCAGGATGTTCTTCTTTGAGAAACATCCAACAACCCCAGCCTTCATTCTTGAAGGATCGCAAAGCTTTATTTCAGCTTCATGACTTTGGCTCTTGTGGCCCATTCATCCTTGGAAAACATCTGCCCCTGGAATGCAGGATTCTTGCACTGTGTGCACCCACTTCCTCTGCACTTGGAGCAGCCTACTGACTGCAGTGACTTGCTACTTCGGTGGCTGCAGCTTACACTGGCAGCTGGTCTCTTCATACCCTTGGGCTTGCCTTCGCAAAGTTTTCTAACACCTCTTCCTTTTCCACCACCTCTGCCTTTGGCAGCAGTGTTTTTACTAGCACCTTTGCCTCTGCCTTTAGCAGTCTTTTTGTCATCCCTGTCCAGCAACTTTTGCATGTTTTCGTTTTCATAGTCCTCCAAAGTCTTTTGGTCATTGACAGCTTCAGCAGCATCATTGTGGGACCCTGCTTTGACTTCGCTCTGGGAAGGAGGGGCTGCTGAGACAGCAGGCTGCTGAACAGTGACTGAGGTAGGTGCTTCAATGGGCAAAGGCAAAGACCCTGCAGAACTTGCACCAGAATTTGCAGCTTCTTGAGAAGCACCAGTCTGCAAGTATTCTATTTTCACACCATTGCCAGCAAGGATGCTGTTTCCAACAGCATTGAATTGTTGAAGCAGCCTGCACATCATTGTGTCAACAAGGGCATGAGAACTGGGAGGTGCAGGCTCAACTTGCTGCTTTGGAGATGTAGTTGGTGGCACATTCTCCTTGGCAAAAAATGAAACAAAAACCAATGTGCATACATGAGCCTGTACAGGCTGATCAGTTGCAGACCATGCAAGCAGCACAAAAGAAAATTTGCCAGGCTTTGAAAAGACAAGGGTCCTTCCCCAAGGTGACAGAAGCACTGGACATCCTCACAGGCACAACCTTGGAGTTCAAGAGGCCAGCCAAGCCTGGAAAGTCTGCCTTCATAGGCTTTCCACCTTGAAAGGAAGCATCAAAATGGCTACTACTCAAACTCCCTGGGTCATCAGGGTACTGTGCCAAACTCAAAGCACTGGCAGGCACTTCCATTGCAACAGTCTGCAAGGTGTGCACCAGATGTTGGGAGAGATTGTACACAGAATCTGGAATGGGCAGCTTGTTGGTTCTTTGCTGCTCATGCCAAACCAGAATTCCACAGGCAAGTCTTTTCAGGTTTTCCTTCATTCCCCTGATACCCAGCAACTTCATTCGTTTTGCAACAGTAGTGCAGCCTTCCCACATATTGCTTTTCTGCAATGCACTGATGTCCTCCTCTGTCAAATACTTGTAGAAAGTCCTGCAGTCCTGTGCCCCTTGGATCACTTTGCCAGCTGTTTTGACCTCCACTTCTTCAACAGCCAGCTTGTCCAGGACAGCAATCAATTCACAATGCATAGTTTGAGGAAGATTTGCTTCTTTCAAAGCATCATAGCAAAGGACCAGGTCAGTGCTGGACACATTGGACATCAGTTGCAGTTTTCTCTTCAAAGCTGTGCACAGCTTCACCTCCAAGTCGAAAACTCCAGGTCTTGCAGATAGCAACTTGGAGATGGAATGGAGTTCTGCTCTGATGTCATTGGGTGTCCAAGACATGCTGCCAGGACAGTGTGCTACCCCCAGGCTTGAGCAGTCAAAATGCTACAAGCATCCCAAAAGTTTTTGAACCTTACAACTGCTTGCCTACACAGGCATTCTAATCCATTTGAAGTATGCACCTGCTATTGCATGTCTTGTATGTCTGATTGCTTCTACAAGCATGGGCACAAAGCTTGCAAAGGCTGGTAATAGTAAACATAAGCCCTTAAAGGTTGTCACACACATGCCTGCACAGGCACAAAAAGCAATTTTCCCAATCAATTAGCTTAATGCCTGGCTGCTGCAATGCAGTCACAAGCAAGGTAGACAAGCAAAAATGCAGCCATTGCACTAAGAATGTTTCAAAAAGAAACATGTCTTCAATCTAATTCATCTCCAAACCTGCTTCTTCAGCCAACCTCTTCTTGCCCTTCTGATTGGTAGAGTCTTGGGAAGGTGAGCTTGAAGATGTAGACCCTGGACCCTCTTCAGGGGCTTCTTCAGGTTCTACTTCAATATCATCTGGAAGTGGAACATTGAAGTAGATTCTCCATTTGGCAAATTGTAATGCCCATGTTGTGGGAGCTCCATTCTCCCAAACTGTCACCTGAGAATCTTCATCTCCATCCAGAATGATGTCTCCCAAAATGAAAGGGTTTGCAACTTCCAAATTGAAGTCAGCAGCTCTGGCCATGGCTGACAAGGTTGCAAAATTTGCAAAGAAACAAATTATGAAAATGTATGAGAGAATCCCTAATCTTCAAGTTTCAATTCAAAAATTTGAATTGAAATTTGAAGCTTTCAATTTTCAATTCAAAATTTTGAATTGAAATTTGAAGTCTTCAATTTTCAATTCAAAATGTTGGATTGAAATTTGAAGCTTTCAATGTTCAATTCAAAATTTTGAATTGAAATTTGAAGTTTCCAATGTTCAATTCAAAAAATTGAATTGATATTAGTTTCTTCAGTTTTGTAAAGATATATATTCTGAAAATATGAGCTCTGAACATGAGAATTTAAGAAAATTGAAACTTTTTGCCAACATGTTTGATCTTTCTTGGCACTGATTTTCTTGAGCAACAACTATATACACAACATTGAATTGAGACATGCATTTCCATGCAGTCAGTAGAGACTCTAAATCTTGACAGCATATTGTTGAGCTTGCACAGGCTGTTTGAATTGTCTGTAGTGACAACATAAAACACAGAAAACAACTGAAGCCTGTAGAGGCTGAATGTGATCACCTGCTTTTCACCTCCATCTGTTGCAGTCCATCTGTTGCAGCCAGGTCGTTTTCTACAGCCACTTCTTATAGGCATTTTTGCCTTCCTGTTTGAATTCTCTGTTGGGTTTCCGAAGTGGTTCCCTCATAGCATGGTGGCCACTCAGTCTGCTCAGAGCTTGCTCCATGCCCTCCTGGTCCTTCATGGTATACATGTGGATCACAGCGCAAGTCTTGGCCAGCCAGCCACTCACCTTCTTGCCATCTGGATCCTCACTGATACATTCTGAATCAGTTCAAAAAACTATGCACTGCCAACCTTCAAGATGTTGAAGCTAAGAAATGCCAAGAAACAGTTTGGTCTCTGAACCTTGACCAGCTTTTTCCTTGCTTCCATCGCCACCACAAACCTTCCTCTTCTGCATCTTTTTCCCACCACTCATCACCCACAAAGAAACCACCAGCATTCCAGTCATAGGAGGCCCACCAAGATGTGGAAGCTGATGGGGCCCCAGCTGCAGGACAAGGAGGCGAACCAGCTGCTGCAGGAGGTGGTGCAGGAAGGTGGCCAGCCACAGCCTCCAAGAGCTTCCTGGTGAGCTCTTCATCAGAATCCTCCATCTTGACTCCACTTGAGGAACTTGGAGCACTTGCAACAGCAGGTGGTTTTGTTGCAGTGATCTTCTTGACTTTTGCCTTGGAGCTTGCCTCCATAACCTAAGCTTCACCAAAAAATACATCAGCATTGCAAAGGCAACTTGTAACAACAATCAAAGCCTGTACAGGCTGTAATTGAAAACTGGCATCATTTTTGGGCCTGTATGGGGCTGAATGTGGCAGAAGCATGTGAATGCATGAGTCTGTGCCTGCTGATGCAGCAAAGAAACCGGTTGTGGCAATCTTTTCTTCTTCCTTTCAGAGTCCTGTGAAAATTAAACAGGTACATTGCTTGGACTTGCAGCTTTTCAACACAGCCCAAGGCTCCTTCTCTGTGGTGGCTTCTGGTGGGCTTGGAGGTTCCTCAGCATGAAGAAAAACAATGATGCAACACCAGCGAGTTTAAACTAAGACAAGATACTGTGGCTTCATCCTCCTCTTTCACTTCTTCCTTTACCCATTCATATTGTTCCTGCAATGTGGAAACAAAAAGGTTTTCTTTGAAACTACAATGGGATTGAAGCTGTCCTCTTTGACTTCAGGTTTGGATGCTTGCTCTTTGTACCACTCTTGCTCTTCCCATTCTGCCTGGGCTGCTTTGGAAAATGAATATTGTGCCAACCAAAAAACATGAACACCCAAGAGGACAACACAAGCAGCCAAGCCACATCCAGCTCAGAAGCCCACTTTTCCCAAAAGTCGCGAGGCCCTCTGTGGCCCTCCATATGTGAAGGCACTGCTTGAGGTGCAATGCCTGCAGAAATTGCACTAGGGTTCCTGGACCAGAGATACATCATGCTTGTATTGGCAAGCTATTGAGCCTGTAGTGGCTACATGAATTAAGCCTGTAGTGGCTACCCATCTTGAGCCTGTAATGGCTATACATTTGGAGCCTGGAATGGCTACACACCTTCAGCCCGTAGTGGCTATATCTTGAGCTTGTAATGGCTGCACCTGCAGCTGCACACTTTTTTGCAGTTGCAGCAGCTCTGGGTCACTTTGCTTCTTCCTTTGCTATCTTTTTAGCATATTTGCCAGTTTGATTATATTGCCTCTTTTGGCCTTTGGCCAGGCAATCAGAAGCATCTTCCATGATGTAGTCACAAACTGCAGTCAGAATTGTAGCTTCCAAAGGAATGACCAAGTCTGTCTCTTTCAGCGATCTTGGTGTTTTCACTGGTACTTGAACTTCTCCCACTTGAATTGTGACTGTCTCTGGGGCATCATGAAAGAGCTGTTTCCAACAAGGTGGTTTCATGTGAGGGGCTTCTTTGCTGCTATCATCAAACATGCTGGCTTCTTCCCCTGACTTGTCACCTTCAGCCACAGACTTCACAGCTTCCTTCACCAAATCCATGAGCACTTTCAGCTGTGGACTGGCTGCCAAACTTGGGTTCTGCAGGTTTTTGAATTCATCTAGATGCCCGAGGATGAGCTTTGCAATGCCAACATTGGAAGCTCTGAGTCTCAACCATTTTTTACCTTCCTTGTCAACATGAAGGAGCCCTGATGGAACATACACCTTAGGGCCATCCCTGTAGCACAGGGAAACTTCTTCGAAAATTTCCATGGCTTCCAAAAACTGCAGAGGTAAATCCTATCCAGCAAATGCTACAGCCTGATTGCCAAAACCAGCAAGATTCTCAAAGCTATGGGCAAGGCAGGTGGAGGTTCAACATGAGCCTGCACAGGCTAAGGCAAAAGCTGAATCAGCAAGCTTGCGACATGTTTTCACCATGCCTTGGGTTCAGCGATTATAGCACAGTCAAGTGGCCACCTTCTTCTTCTTGGCACCTTGCTCTTCTGCTGGTTCCACCAAAAGGGGCGTGCCCTTTTCAACAACCTTCTTGTTGGTGAAGCATGGAATAGTCAAGGTGCCTACCTTGATCGAATGCTTCTGCAAACAACTCTCATCAGCATTAGGGCCTTCTTTCACCATCCAATAGGGGCAGAACAGCCCAGACTTTTTGGAGAAATCACATTTCCAAGGCTGGACCAAGTACCTGACATTGGGTGAAGAAGTGCATGTCATGATGCAGTGGTGCTTCTGGACCTTGTCGACTGTAAGCACTTGCAAGCTACCCAGAGGCAGCAAAATCAACTTCCCTTTGGTGAATTTGGCACCTGCAAAAATTTGGTGCTGGTTGGACACTTTGACATTCATGTCTCCAAGCCTGAGTTGCCCAAACAAAAGCAATGATGGAAAAGTCATTTAACAAACTTGCATGTTCAATGTGCAAATGCAGCTTGGGAGCTCTTGGTACTTCCCAACCAAAGCACAATAAGCCTGAGCTTTGCCCAATTCCTCTTCCAAGGCAGCAGAGTTGCAAGGGAGGAGTGTGGCCAGCCCTGCTTCATCAATCAGCTGGGGTGCATCTTTGATCCATTCTTTCAAGTTCCTCAAGTCAGAGAACTTTATTTCCTTCAGCTCGTCCTTGTCAGCGAAGAAAGGTCTGTGAGACAGCTTTGCAACTGTTTCTGTCAGCTCCAGCAACTTCCACACCTTTGCAGGCTCATTTTTCAAGGTGTACAGCTTGTCCACTTTGATGTGCTTGTGGGATTGCAAAGCAATGGCTTTTGAATTGCTGGCTTCAGCTAAACTCTTGACAGTCCCCTTTGTTTCGCCAGCTTCTCCATGTGTAGGTGCTGAAGAAGTTGCAGCAGCTTGTGTTGCACAATTCGCAATGTCCTCCTCAAACTTTGTTTTGATTGCAGCCATATCCTGGTAGCAAGTTCCCTCCCACCCTTTGGTTTCCTTTTGCAGCAAATGCAAAACCAACAAATCTGGAACTTGCCAAATGGCAATGCTGCTTTGGACAGACCCAAAGCTGATTTTTCAACCACATCCCATGCTGCCAGCATCAAGTTCTCAGCAGCCAGAACTGATGGCATGACTTTCTTGCTCTTCAGCTTGTCAAAATCAGCTTTTGTGATCATCCTGGAGAAGCCATCTTTCTGACAAGACTTAGGGGCTGTCACTTGGCAGCAAGCCAGTGCAAGTCTCAGAAAAGGGAAAGTTGTAGTTTGCTGCTTCCAGTCACAGTAGGCAAGAAGCTGTGTGAACTCCTCACCAAACCTTGTCGAATTTCCAAATTGCCTGCCTTAGCTGAACAAGCTGGATAGCACCAAACATTTGAGCCTGAAATTGGCTGTGTTGCTTGGGCTTGTGCAAGCTACATGTCTGTGAGCAGAAGCCTGCATGGGCTATATGTCATGTGCTTTGTGAAGCCGAGGTGCCAATGAGATCCAAATATTCCAGCAATTTAAATGACTCTCCTCCTGAATATGAAGCCACAAAGTCGCCCACTGCCTTGATGTACCCTTTGCAGGGTGGCCTGCAAGTTAAGCAGCTGCTTGCAGCTGCTTGTGCCACTGCTTTATCCAAATCCTTCTCTGAAGCAGCTTGCATCTTGTAGAAAGTTGCAATTGTCAATGCAACTTCCAATTCATTGGGGGCCTTCACCAGACCATGCTCACCTCTACATGGCAATTGGATGCTGAAAACCGTATATGTTGCTTTGAATTTTTGGGTGGAAGAACAAAATTCTGTGAAAGTGCTGACTGAGTGGCTGTTGTAAGCTTGCTGTAAAACTGCCAGCAGTGAAGGAACTTCTTCTTCAACTTTGGAAGAAATCACAGTCCAGAGCCAGCCTTCTTGAACCAATTGCTGCAGATCATCATTCCCATTCTGAAACTTCTCCAAAGCCAGGTCATCAGGAAGTTTGCAGCCAGCTTCCAAGGCCTTCAAAAAGGCAGTGGTGTGGCTTGCACTGATTGAGGCCACTGTCTCTTGCCCCGAAGGTTTTGCCAGCATGCCACTTGATTGCTCACTCAGCTGCTTGTTTGCTGAAAATATGGCATCCTTTTTGTCACCAACATGTGGGATTTGGACAGCCACTGGTGATCTAATTTTGCTCGCATCCCATCCAACTTCAGATATGGATTGCCCTTTGGACACCACATCATATGGGTTGACTAAGTGGCCTCCCCTGTTTGTGGTGTGAATCAACACATCCTTGGGTTTGATTTTGGTGTTCCAAGCCATTCCTGCTTTTTCCAAAATTTGCATCCCTTTGGAATCCTCCAGCATCACTTTTATGTCCTTGGACCATTGCGAAGACATTGCTCAGCTACAGCTTTGTTTCAAGTGAAAGGAACTGCATGCCAAACAGAACAATGGCTTTTCCCTTCACCAATGCATATGCTGCTAACAAAACATATGCCATGCTCATTCTGATTTCATTGCTGTTGCTGCCATGGCTGCCACGCATGGCTTCCAATGTTTGGGCCATGCGCCTGCAAGGTGTGAACTTTTGGTACTGAACCTGTGTAAGTTTGGAGCTGGCACAAGCTGGTCACACTAAAGCCTGCACAGGCTGAGAAATTTGAGCATGTAAAAGCTGGTTGTAACACTAAAGCCTGCACAGGCTGAGAAGTTTGAGCTTGCAAAGGTTGTTAACACTAAAGCTTGCACAGGCTGAGAAATTTGAGCTTGCACAAGCTGGCAGCACTAAAGCCTGCACAGGCTGAGAAATTTGAGCTTGCACAAGCTACAAGCCAAGCTTGGAGGAACTGAAGAAAAGAACCATCCAGCCAGCAGAACTTTTTTTAGCACTTCTCCCAAAAGTTTTTGGTTTGGCTTCAGCAGAACCATTTCTGCACAGCTTCGCCAGCAACCAGCAGGTCATTCATTAGCAGAAGCTGGGACAGCTCTTTGATGCCAATTGTCTCCACTGGCTTGCCATGCTCTTTCCTCCACCTCCCAGCATGACCTTCACACCAACCAGTTTGAATCTCAGCTGTGGAGGCTGGCTTTCTGAGAGGCCTGCTTTTGCCATCGCTGAAGTAAGCCAGGAAGTAGGAGCCATTCACATTGCTCCCAATGGTATAGTCCACAACCTCAGGGGAGGCTTCCATGGCCACAGGGAAGTTAGTGCCTTGAGCCTTGAAGCAGCAATGAGAAACATCCAAGCATTGAAATTCCCAAGGTGTAACAGGAGCTTATAGGAGCTGGGTTGTGCAAGCTTGTACTAGCTGATCTCATGAAAGAGCACTTTCCAGCAGCTGGATTGTGAATTTTGTGCTCGCTGATCCTATATGAGACAGCAGCTTCAAGCTGGACCGTGGAAGCTTGGAAGGCCTGAGTCCTGTATGCCCAAGGAAGAAAAAACACAAATTGAGATGGAAAAAAAACAAAAAAAATAAGGTTGCACATGCCAGGAAAAAAAGTTCCAACCTTGAACATGTTCAATCCAACATCAAAAAATCATGGTTTTAAACCTTCTATTTTTTAAATGTGTTTTTAGCTAACTATTTACTAAAATTGCTAATTGTTTATGTTGTTTATCATGATTAGCATAATGTTTAAAAAACATTAGCTAAACATCATAAAAAGATAGATGGATTATAATGGATTATATGAATTATAACTAGTTATAACTAGTTCATAGCATGTTACTAGAAACTTAACAACTACTTAGATAAATGCTGTAAGTGCCATAACATGTTAGCAAGCCCCAAGAACATCAAAGCACAGCTTGCACACGCGCTGCTGTGGCCACCACCTGTGCCGGCAGACTCTTTTCTTGGGGGTTCAAGTGTGCCGTTTGGCCGCCTTAAAAGGCTGCGCAGCGGCTCCACACAGCTTGCAAACGCGCTGCTGTGGCCACCACCTGTGCCGGCAGACTCTTTTCTTGGGGGTTCAAGTGTGCCGTTTGGCCGCCTTAAAAGGCTGCGCAGCGGCTCCACACAGCTTGCAAACGCGCTGCTGTGGCCACCACCTGTGCCGGCAGACTCTTTTCTTGGGGGTTCAAGTGTGCCGTTTGGCCGCCTTAAAAGGCTCCGCAGCGGCTCCACACAGCTTGCAAACGCGCTGAGGCCACCACCTGTGCCGGCAGACTCTTTTCTTGGGGGTTCAAGTGTGCCGTTTGGCTGCCTTAAAAGGCTGCGCAGCGGCTCCACACAGCTTGCAAACGCGCTGCTGTGGCCACCACCTGTGCCGGCAGACTCTTATTGGGGGTTCAAGTGTGCCGTTTGGCCGGCTTAAAAGGCTGCGCAGCGGCTCCACACAGAACGTGCTGCTGTGGCCACCACCTGTGCCGGCAGACTCTTTTCTTGGGGCGCGCTGCTGTGGCCACCAAATGTGCCGGCAGACTCTTTTCTTGCGCGTTCAAGTGTGCCGTTTGGCCGCCTTAAAAGGCTGCGCAGCGGCTCCACACAGCTTGCAAACGCGCTGCTGTGGCCACCACCTGTGCCGGCAGACTCTTTTCTTGGGGGTTCAAGTGTGCCGTTTGGCCGCCTTAAAAGGCTGCGCAGCGGCTCCACACAGCTTGCAAACCGGCAGACTCTTTTCTTGGGGGTTCAAGTGTGCCGTTTGGCTGCCTTAAAAGGCTGCGCAGCGGCTCCACACAGCTTGACAACACGCTGCTGTGGCCACCACCTGTGCCGGCAGACTCTTTTCTTGGGGGTTCAAGTGTGCCGTTTGGCCGCCTTAAAAGGCTGCGCAGCGGCTCCACACAGCTTGCAAACGCGCTGCTGTGGCCAACACCTGTGCCGGCAGACTCTTTTCTTGGGGGTTCAAGTGTGCCGTTTGGCCGGCTTAAAAGGCTACGCAGCGGCTCCACACAGCTTGCAAACGCGCTGCTGTGGCCACCACCTGTGCCGGCAGACTCTTTTCTTGGGGGTTCAAGTGTGCCGTTTGGCCGCCTTAAAAGGCTGCGCAGCGGCTCCACACTTGGATGTTCATGGCCTTTAGTAAATGTTTAGTATATGTACTAAATGTTCGGACTTAGCTGGGTTTAATTTATAAGTTGGACTTACTAACTAATACAAGTCTGCCTCAGTAAACAAATAGCAGATATAGCTAAATCAGATTTCGCTGAAATAGTCAATTATACTAAATTGGCTAAATCAGACTTAGGGGCTTTGATTTTTCTTCTTTGGTGGCTAAAAAAAAGCACTTACATATGTGAGATCATGTGAGTATTTGGGTGGAAGCTTCGAAAATGGCAATGTATATATATATATAAAGGAAATCAGTGGCCTGTATAAAATCGCGTGCGGCTGGAATAACACCCGTGCGGGTCCGGTCACTGTGTGTGAAAGTGTTTGTGTGTAAAAGCCTCTGCGTGTGAAAGCTTGTGTGTGTAAAAGCCTCTGTGTGAAAGTGTTTGTGCCTAAACGCGTCTATGTGTAAAAGCGTCTGTGTGTCAAAGCTTCTGTGTGTAAAAGCCTTTGTGTGTAAAAGTGTCTGTGTGTAAAAGCGTCTTTCAAAAGCCTCTGTGATTTCATTGTGAAAGTCTCTGTGTAAAAGCTTCTGTGTAAAAGCGTCTGTGTGTACAAGCCTCTGTGTTTGAAAGTGTGTGTTGTGTGCAAAAGTGTCTGTGTGTAAGAGCGTCTGTGTGTAAAAGTCTCTGTGTGTAAACGCGTCTGTGTGTAGAAGTCTGTGTGTGTAAAAGCTTCTGTGTGTAAAAGCCTCTGTCTGTGTGTGCATGTGTGTAAGAGTCTCTATGTGTAAAAGGGTCTGCGTGTAAAAGCTTCTGTGTGTACAAGTCTGTGTATGTAAAAGGTTCTGCGTGTAAAAGCCTCTGTGTGTGAAAGCTTCTGTGTGTAAAAGCCTTTGTGTGTAAAACGTCTATGTGTAAAAGTGTCTATGTGTGTATGTGCGTGTATGTGTCTTCCTCTTTGTGTTCTGTTTGTGTGTGTGCGTGTGGTATCTTTGTTTGTGTATCTGTGTGTGTATGTGTTTCTTTGCTGTCTGTCTCCGTCAGTCTCTCAATTTTTGTATTTATCTTTGTCTACTTCTGCTTAGAATCTGACATATAGTATTTCTCCTTTCTGCTGATCATCTGCATCATCTTCAATGAAGCTTTCACCTACAATGTCTTTGATACTACCTACAAACAGACGGCATATAACCAGCCAAAACCAAAGATGCCAGCCACATTTCTGACAATCGCAGATAAAGTTTGCAGGCGCCGTATACCAGTTTTTCTATAGGCTAGTGGAAAGAAGGAATTTCAACAACAATTCGTTCATTCAACAGCAATTTGTTCTTTCGCCGTTGCACTTGCAGCCTCCCTAAACGGCCTGCACATAGATCGAAGACAACCACACCTGCCAGTGACTATATATGACTGCATGCAGAGCTATGTTGCTCGCAGGCAATTCTTGCAGAGATGTTTTCTCGCAAGGCAAGTTAGTGCGGGGAAGTTGGCGAAGGAGTTTCTCAAATAGGATGCAACTTGCAACGAGATTTGAAACATGGTCAAAAACAAAGATCCTGCGAATCATCATGTTGCAAGCTGAGCTTTTTCACTTGCGAAATGTCACCCCTCTGGAATCTGTCAATGCTCAAGAAATGCACCCCTCTTGGTTTGCATGGCTCCTTCAAGGAACACTGCAATCATGACAATCAATGCCATGATGATCATCTCTGTACGAAGATTATACCAGGTGCACCACGCCTATACATAGGCTAAAGCCGGATACGGCTATCCACGCCTACGGCTATATCAACGCCTATTGCTCACTTCTTCTTGCTGCTCTTGCCGCCTGGCCTTTTCTTCGGGTGCGGTTCGTAGCCATGCTTTTTCAGCTCTGCAGCATCCACCTTGGATGCCTTCTCGCATGCATCTTCCAGTGTCATGCCCTCTTTCAGGCCCTTCAACTTTGCAGCCGTGTATGTTCTGCTGTGCAGGTTCTTTCGGTCCATCTTCCAAGGCTCCTTGTCCTTTTTCACCGCCTTTGTCGCGTCAATTCTCTTCGGCTTGGATTCTGGCACTGCTGCGGCTGGCCTCTTCATCTTGGCAGCCTTGGAGCGACGATCGATGGCATCCTCCACAACTCCTGCCTGCTGGATTGCATCCAACGGCTTTTGGGATGAGGTCTCCGGAGCTGGCTGGTCATCCGTCTCATCTCCACCGGTGTAGAACAACTTGAGAGGCTTGACGCCTGCAGGGTTCACTTCATGAGGCTGGCTCTCTTGGGTGTCCTGCGACTCATCTGGTGGAGACTTGGACGGCACTCGAGGAGCAGCCATGCCTTTGCCCTTTGGGGTCCAGTAGACCAGATCTTCCGGAGATGCCGGATTGCCTTTGCCGAATGGGTTCACTCCCTGCTGCATCATGGACATGAAGTACTGCGCACCCATCATCATCATCATCATCATCATCATCATCACCATCATCATCATCATCATCATCATGGCCGGGTCAAATCCCCTGCATGCAGCACCACCCGGCATGCTGCCCATGCTGGCGCCCATCATGGGTCCTTTTGAGTGAGAAGGGAGCATGGCCATAGACTCCGTCCGGTCTCTGCGACTTCGAAGACCTCCTCAGATCTACTTGGCTACGAGCAGCCAATCCCTGACCTTCTTCCACGCCACCCATAGTGGAACCAGCGAAACATTGTTTCAATGCAGGTGGCAAGTCCGTAGGGTCATGGGGGTATGTGGTGAGGTATGGCTCCGGCAGGCCTTTTGCATTCTTGCCCCTAGCGACAAGTCTTTTCAACTCCTCTAAGTATGGAAGTCTTTCGAGAATTTGCATCGTCATACCAGCGGCAATTCCTGCCGCCATGATAGGCTTCCAACTTTTCTCCAGTGGCCTCACACTGCCGACTGACACGCATCGGTCTGCCAGCACTTGGATCTTTGCCAGCAAAGAATGCTGAGGGTCACTCAGCTTTTGCACATCCTCCAAGGTGAGGTATGCTGAGAAGCTTTCGACAAGCTGGCGCCGAGGGCTGCTGCTCAAAGCTCCAGTTGAGTGGTGGCTGGTGAGCACATCAGCAAACTCACCTTTTTGCTGTCCAGTCCATGGGCCTGCAAGGACCAGGCGCTGCATCTGCATGCTCTGTTGATGATTCAATCCTGTCAAATTGCGAAGCATCTGCAGCACGCCAGCAGCTTGGTTGGCGATCGCCGAAGTCATGTTGTGGCCTTCAGGGAGGTTCTTCTTTTGCTCTTCAAGCATCGTGTGAATGTGGGTGATGTCTGCGTGGACCTGCTCGTAGGTCGCCATATCGGCACGTCAAGAGTTTTCACCCGGCACTTTGAGAATCACTGAGAAAAAAGGCAGCATCAAAGAATGAAACTAAAATCATTCTTTTTGCGAATAGGTCGGTGGACCCAGCATCTTTCTGGATAAAAAAATGATAAATAACTCTGCCAACAGAAGTGCGAGTGAAAGCACTCTGCAACTCAGCACAGCGAGTCAGACTCTGCTGCGCAAATTCCTGGCCTCTTCAATGGCCCACACATCAGCTGCAAGCTGCAGTCTCTTAAAACCTGCATGCGACGGGACAGCACCAAGGAAGTAAACATCCAATAATACTTTGGCTGACATATATAGCTTCTGTGTCTCCTTTTCTGAAAACTAAACATATACTTTGCTAACCATCAAATTTGTTGCCTGGCGCTCTTATACAGGCAATCACTCTTTCAATGCCAGAAGCAAATGAAACCAAGCAATTCGAATGCGATCAGGACAAACCATTTTTTTCATGGGGCAACTGTGGCGTGCTGTCCATCATCGTCTCGTCTATATGTGCAGGTTCGCATCAACCACCTCAGTTTGGGTTTCAGTTTGAATTTGAAATTTAATATATACTTGTCTCTAAAAGAAATGCATTGGATACAAACATTGTAGAACACCCCACAAGTAAAAAAAACAAAACCACGTCAAATAAATGGACCCAGGGACGATGTTTCCACCCATCTTCCGATAGTGTCGTTGACTTGAAACCGGTTTTTGCCAAGGGGTGTCCACAAAGCAACAATACTCCATGGGTGATCATTGTATTCAACGTGTGCATGAACGATGCCAACATGAAGCTCACTGTCAATCTGCACGACAACGACATCACCTGTGTGGCAGATCATGCCATGGATGGTCGCTTGGGTTGACACCTTGATGCCATCCTGACCACTGCGACCTAAGAAATCCAAAGCCATCTTCCTGATGATCTTGCCTGTCATTGCTTTGGGCTTGATCAGGTGCACACCTTTCGGGCAAAATGAGTGCAGGTTCTTCATGCATGTGTGGCTCACTTCCTTCAACACCGACATTTCGTACCAGTCACCGGCGTTACTGATTTGATTTGCCCACATCTTTAACTGTTTGTGCTTGCGCTCATGGCACCAACAGCTCACTAAGAGCTTGTGGCGTCTCAGCAAAGCAGGGAGGTGTATGCTAAAGTGAAACTTGGGCTGCATGTCATCTGCAGAATGGGCTGACTTGAACGATTCGAGGTGCTGCAGGATCAGCTGCTCCAGCTTGCCTGGATCAACCTGCTTGCCCTTGCCACCTTCTGACAACAAATCTAAGATCTTGCAGAGGATCAGAAAAGACTTTGCCGCAACTTTGTCCACAGCATCGTCAAAGGACGTTTGCAACACCAGGAGCCGAAACAATGGGTAGATGCAGAGCACCTCCGAAGCAGCAGGCTTCCACGCATCTTTGGTCTTTGCTTTTTCAAACGTTTGAACAGCTGCCTTGAGATTGGAGGCTTGTTCTTTCGGACCAGAAAAAGTTGTGAAAAAGGCTGTGGCATCGCCGTGCCTGCATCCGCACCGGCCAAGAATCTCAAGCATTAAATTCACCTGGGTCACGAACAGCCCATTGACTAAATAGATATGGAGCCAGTCGTACATGGTGTGGCTGATTGGCTTCAAATCTAAAGATTCATCAAACAGCATCCCCTTTGGGGTGTAATTTATCCCCAGGCTTTGCTCCAGAATCTCGACCTGCTTCTTGGTCCTCACGACCTTCTCAGCAGCCAAATGTCTCGCAGCTGTTTTGAAATCCTCGTCGGTCCTCGCGAGGATTTTGTTCAGGTCTGTGCACGTGTGAGGCACAAGCCTGCCAGTGGAGTCTTCTAAATGAAGTCCACCGCGCTGCTGAACTAGGTTCCAGCACATGATGCAGGGTACAGTACCTGCAGCTCCCTTCGCGGCCCACATCGCCTTGAGCGCGGCTTCATCGGCCACTAAGACCGGCATGGTTCCAAACAGGAACTTTCGATGTCCACTTCTAAAGGTGAGAAGAAAACCACGTTTCAAGGGCTCGAATAGTTTGACCACTACTCTGCTCAGCGCAGATACTCCGCCTTGCAGTTCCTGCACCTTGTGGGTTCTCAACAAGGCGCACGTGAACCAAAGGTCTTCCGTTGTCAAGCCCTTCTGATCATACTGCATGAAGCTGAAGTAGTACGTATAAAACTTACCTTACATTGCGTGTGGCCACAGAAATCAACCAATTCAAAAATCACTATGCAAACATGGACTTGAAAACCCGCTCCGAACAACAGCGCATGTCAAGCCTAGCCACGTCGGTTATCAGCTTTAAGCTGATTACCTGGTGACACCTCATCGCTGTAGAGCACAATTGACCACGGCTGCCTCTGGATGGGAGGTGTCCTTTCCATCTCATCCTCCATGAAATCCGAAAAGCCATGAGATGTGGCACAAAGGTGCCACAACAGTGCGCATGGATCGACCATTGTGCACTCCATCTGACCTAAGCTTCGAAATCCCTGTTTCGATTTTAACATCATGCAGTTCAATACTACATTCCATAAAAAAATAAAATCACGAGCATTTGCTGTGAACACACACACACAAAAATGTCGACAAAAATTCAATCAAAAGAACCAATCAGCTCAGCCCATGAATTTAATCAGGCAACCACCATTCACTGTGGCCAGAGCTCGCTTCACGAACAATGGCCCACATGGGGTCGTGATGTCGACCTTTTCATCTCGTGCTCTCTTGATGCTCGACCGTGACGTTGCCTCTGGCAATGGAGCATCCTTCAGCTCCGACAACAGCTCTGCAAGGGCTGCCTGGCTAACAAACTTTTTCCTGCCCAAGTCTGCCAGCATGGCCGAAAGCAGCACCGAAAATGGTATAAGATAGCTGAGATCCATTGCAACAATAAGTGGATTGTGTATGATGTCCATATTAAATGGCAAAATTCTATCAGACAGCACCTTCAAATCTCAGATACACATGGATCACTCACTGGTGGCATGGTTTCTGTCTCTTGCAAAGTTGTCATGATCCACCAGGCGACAGTCTACACCTTGTCTCCCAATGCTGCACGAAAAAAACAACTTGTGCCATGCCGTGGATTGCGAGATCGGACTCTCTGCAACCCGACCCTGCGAGTCTGCAATGACTCTGCATGGGTTGACTAGCATGCGCTGAATCCCCACCACCATTCACGCCTTGCAGGGCAGGCCCAAGCTCCGGCAGCCCTGCCGACAGAAGTCAAGATCTGGATATTTTTAAAGGATGCAAAGAGCAATGCAGTGATCTATACAAGTACGGGATCGTCTAGATGGGATATATGACTTGTCACTGTGACTATCTTGATGGTAGAAGAGTTCATGTCAAACCCAACTTTGAAATCTGAACTTTGACAGTCGTTGATCAGGAACAGAAGGGGTTCTATATAAGGTTTCAGTCAGACTCCGGATGTAGCCGCAGGCAGTTCATCAAATCTGCCACGTTCATCGCTCAGAGATGCATGATCGAAAAGTGTACTGTCAAAATTGAGAACACGTTCATAAAAATGTATAGAACGTTTCCAAAACAAACACTCCGCTACATCAGGTGCATCTGAAGATGTGACCTTGACTGGCTCGATGTATATTATTCAAACATTATAACATAAGTGAATGCCAATAACTATGCAAATTCTTGGCACCATGCGTCTCGCTTCATCTCTGCAGAGTGGCAACTCGCAGTGGCACCTGCAGAGAATGAATACTCGCAGGAAGTCCAAGCTAACATAACCGCAAGAATTCGTGCAGCTTTAACATCAAGCATTTTTGGATTATTTTGCGATAATTGTCAAGGAAGATACTGTTTGAACAATTGTTTGCTGTCAACTGTAAGTGAAGCTTGTTTGCTGGAGATTTTTTCTCACTTCAGGCACGGCGGTGATGCAAAAACTGATGTATAGATGGGCATCCCAGAATGCGTTGAAACAACAACTCCGCTCATATGAGCCGAAACCCTGAGGTGGCCAAATGCCTGTTTTTTTGCATGAGAATCCCACCTACACAATTTGAAATGACAAACTGCTGCTGCAAATCCTTCTTTGGCAGGCAGCTCGAAGCCATCACATGTCCAGGTCAATGGAGTTGTACATGCGGACGCAAGGTGGCACCATGAGTCATCGGCGGCAAGATGTTCATGGCCCTGCCAATGAATCGCCACTCAACGTTTGGTCCATATAGGACTCCTCGATGTGATGTTGCGCAAGGTCTTGAATCTGCCTTGGATAGATCCGATCCGAAGACGGCAATAGCCACCCGTCGGCTTTCAAACACTCGCCCGACGCTGCCATCCAGGCTTTGAAGCGGATCAAGGGCTGATCCCAGTCAGGGCGAGTTTCCAAGTGGCCAGTCAGCTTAATGACCACTGTTTTCAGCGACATCTTCTTGCAGTAGATGCAATCTGCCGTCCACTGCGGTCCCCGGAAAAGGACCGACTGCCCATCGTCGCTGCGGCACACCAGCAAGTAGCGCAGGGCTGGATACCCGTTGCCAAGGATGAAGATAACCTCATGGGCCTCCAGTCTCTCCACCTGCCTTGGCGGCACATGTTCGAAGTCCTTGTCAGGGATCGTGCACGTCATCACTCCCTCGCTCAGCTGCAAGTAGCTCTGGAGGCGTTCGGTTCCAATGATCACCATGCCCCAAACATACTCGGCAGCTCCAGCCATGGATGGATCAGCAAGGTGATAGTTGAACACTATATGCGAGGTGTCTGGGCCAAAAGTCTTTCTTGCCAATACAATTGCGAGGTTAGTACCCCTGCAATTGAACCCTGCGATTTATTTGAACAAAAATCTGCAGAGTTTGTTTGGCAGTCTTATACACTTCTTGTTTCAAACACACGCTCGCAATTCCAGTTTAAGAAGAAAGATTGCACATCTATTGCCACGCACTCTGCCGATGTCAAAACAAGGATGATGCATTCGGCAAGTGGTCAAGTAATGCAACTTCAAGGAGTGAATTCCATCAAAAGGGTCGCTCAAACCCTTTGGCATGCAGAACAAGTGGTCAAAACTAAATTCAATCAACCATTTCTTGTGCAAGTCAAAGATCCCAGTGCGTAAAGACCCTTTCTGTTCATCAAGTTTCACACGTGTTGCCATGTAGTTTGCCAATCTCAAAAACGACTGAAGGATGCATGCAACGCGCTCTCTTTTCGTCCCTCATACCATCTAATCGTCAGTAATCATCTTCGATCCTTTTGATCTCCTGCCGTGCCATGTACATGGTCGTCGTCTCCCACTCCTTCTTGGTTGCAGTCTGCAACATGGACACTGCTGTTGACAACACCTCAGAATTTCCGCAACCTACCCGTCTCACAATGTTTCACTGTTTCGCACCTCTATAATATTGCCTTGATACAGGCTCAGCTACATGTGATGGCACTTTACACTATAGTCACACCATAGTGCATGCGGGCTACGTCATCCAAAACATGGAGTCCCAAGCAGTAGTATCTCTGACGGAAGAGGTCCAGAATGAACTCCCGCTTGCGGGCACGAGTGCCATGGCTGAAGGAACAAGGTGTCATCGCTCTTCTGTGGCAGGCATTTGAATTGCCAAAAAGGACTTCGTGTCACACAAGCAATCGAATCGTGTGGCAGCAATGACAAATCTAGTTGTATAGTTGCGAGATCTAAATCTCTGCAACCCAACCAGGCGAGCTTGCAACAGCTCTGCAGTGGTTCACAAAGGTGTAGAGTCGTAGAGTCCCACAGCGGTTCCCGCCTCGCAATCCAAGTTGGCAGCATTCCAGCCTGGTGAGGACATGTGGTGGAACAAAACACCTTTCTTGGTGCTTATGTTTGTCGATTCATTTTTGAACCTTGTGTCCATTGATCCATGCACATGTTGGATGATCACATTGTGTTCCAACCCCCTTTGCAAACCTGCAAAGCCTACAGCCTCACGTCCAAACGACTTCTCTTAACACAACGTTCACTGGTGATTCTACTTCTTTGCCTGAGGAATGAGGTGGAGCATGCAATCCTTAAGTTTGTCTTGGGCCATGAGCCACAGTCGCGAGATCAATGACTCTGCGACAAAGTCTGCGACGAATCTGCAGACTCCGCAATCAGTACATCAGAGCAAAGGCCATGGAAAACGTTTCCTTAGGCTACCCAGAGGCGGTACATTAAGCAAACCACCTACCAACATTTGTGACTTTTGTAGCCATGTAACTCTTTCTGGGCTCGATCAGATAGGAGATTTCGGGGAAGTTACACCAAAGGTTTGACCAACTTCGCAGCACAAATGAGGTGGCAGTGCTTGTGAACATGAAGGCGGTCTACCTTCTGAAAACCCTGCAGAGTTTCTCGCAGGGTTCAGTTGCAGAGGCTCTACATTCTCGCAACTGAGTCCACTTGTGTCATCGAACCCATGGGCATGTGCTAAAAGAATGGGTGCCACAATCATTCCAGAAGGGAAAATCCAGTCCCATGCAAGCCTGCAATCATCCGAAGACAGACCTCAGAGCGCAATGACGCAACAAAAAAAGACACATGACCACATAGGAAATTCAGGAAAAGATTGAATGATTTTCAGCAACCAGTTGACACAAGACAGATGCATCAATCATTGCCCAAATTTCCCAAAATGTTGATCAACAAAAAAAATTGTTGATCAACAAAAAAATATATCAATTTTTTCTTGATCAACAAAATCTCCAATGTGGAAACTCACCAGAATGTTGATCAACAAAAAAAAAATGTTGATCAACAAAATTTCGACCTCAAATTTTGTTGATCAACAAAATTGTGATTTTTCAATATTATCTCTTGCCAGGGGGGACCGCCCCCCCCCCCGCGGTAGCGCTCGCCAAATTTTTGGGAGCCATTTTGAACCCTAAACCCTAAAGTCCATGTGACTATAGGAGTGATGGCAGTTCATCAAAGTTCATCCAAGTCCTTTTGATGGGGCCAATGCTGAAAATCATACAGGTGGAAGTCGCCAATTTTTGCTCAATGATGTGTTTTATGTATTGCAGTTGGCCTTTACGAGATGAGATATATTGCAAAATATGCTCGAATATGATTCCAATCTTTCTGTCCTTGGAAATCTTTGATCTTGGGATATGATCCTTGACACCAGCCCCACGCTCCAACTGGGATCTCTGGCAGTCCCGGCACTCGAAAGAAAGTTCTGGCCTCAGATGTGGCCGTGTGGAAATTCAGCTTATGATGCAATTTCACACGCTGATGATGACAAAAACAGTTTGTACGTTACTATGGCAAAGGTGAGTAGAAGGTTCAAGGTGTTTACAAGATGTTGGTCGATATGTTTTTCCGTTGGTCCTTGATGACATGTGAACATATGACGAGACTTTGATGAAGTGTATGATGTTCAACAAAATTGATTTTTTCAATGTAAACTCTTCCCAATTGTTTGGCATGCATTTTCAATCCAGAACCCTAAACTCCCAAAAACAAAATGATAAAATATTGTGCGATGAAGTCGAAAAGCCTGATGGCACCAATCTCCATTCATTGATCAGCCATCACATTTCAGAATCGAATTCTATGATTTTGCCTGCAAACCCAATCCCGGACCAGACTGCGCCCCGACTTTTTTACTCACCCACAAGGGGAGGAAGCTGCGGTGAACCGCAGAGTGCAGAGGGGCGGCCAATGGATGCAGCTCCAACTACATCATGATAATGACTTGAATACAATGCTGCATGTGCCATGGGATATCACCCACAGTACCAACAATGTCATCCATTGGCCGCACATGCACGGCTGTGCGACGCCTGAGCAGCAGCTATGGGATACATTCCCAAGCCCACCCAATATTTGAAGTGAGGTTGGATAAAATGTCATCCCATGGCCACACTGTGGCATCTCTATCCGAAGCATTGCATGCCGACGAACCGGCAGGCCAAATGCAAGATGACTGGCGAACACAGCACGAGTTTCAATGCCAACTGCAGTTTCAATGCAATGGGAAGCATATACTTTTGCTCTGAGCACCTTGCATCGGCAGCCAGTCAATTTCTTTAAAATACCATCACTTTGGCTAGGGAAGCTCAAGCAAAACACAGGGTATACAGTGTACAAGAAACACATGTCAATCTTAAATTTTGAAATTAATGAATCACATGACCCGTCTTGTGGTCCACACTGCACTCCATGGGTGTGCCTTTGACCATGCAAGCTTCATCTGTCACTCTGTCACTCTGTCACGAGTCAATGAGGCTATGATCATAAACCAAGTTGTTGTGAAGATTCATCTCATGGATATGGTATATGTTGTTGCTTTTGGCCACAGCCCCACTCTTTGAAGCTTGCAGGCACTTTGTTGTTTGTGCAGGAGTTGCATCAGGGACCACCATGCCAAAGTGTGCTGCTTCAGGATTTTGGCATGAAAGCTCCCAAAACTGGGGACGCAACTGTTGTGCATCCGTTCCCCGATGGCAAATGGAACCAATCACAAACACAGAGATTGATGTGCTCATTCTGCAGCTGAGGATTGTTCCATTTGTCACCATGGGGCTGCCTTCTCAGATCTTGTCAAGGGCCTTCTCAGCCAGGGATGCCAATCTGTCCATCATCGTTCGCTGGTGCTTGGTCTGCTCCAGCTTCTCGCTCTCCTGCTGAAGCTTGCGCTTCTGCTGTTGTGCCTTGGCACCGCCCCTGATTCTGGTCTTGCCTTGCTCGGCCAATCCTTCCCCAGGCCTAAGTGCCAAGGGAAAGGCAAACTGATCTGGAAAACATTGTTTGCAGGGGAAACCAAAACTTGTGGGTGCTGCACCACTTGGAATATCACAACTATTTGGATATCAGTCAAAACCTGAGAAGCTTCGACCTATATAGCGCTTCCTTCCCATATGTTTGGAAATAGGTGTTGATTCGCCCCTTTGGGGAAAGGACTGATCAAAGCCAAGCTGCGGATGGAAATTCCCATCAGGATCCAAATAGCCCTGCCCCTTGGGCAAATAGTAGCCGCCCTTCTTGCACTGCTGGAGCACCACACCAGCATCTTGCTCCTTCGTGGCACCTTCATCCCAATCCCACCATTGATGCTTGCCCCAATCCTCACGGTTGTAGTTCCAATCCTGATGCCACTTTGGCCAGCGATAGCCCTTGGACTTGCCCTTGCCTTTTCCTTTCTGCCAGCCCTTGCCATGCCAGCCCTTGCCATACTGCTTCTTGTTGTTGCCCTTATATCCATTGTTGTACCCCTTGTTGCGGTACTTCTGACTCCACCCTTCTTGACCATGGTGACTCTGTTGCACCTTCTTGCCGTGCTCGCCCTCCACGAACTTCTGCAGATCATTTCGGTCCTTCTCATCCTCTTCCAACTCATCTGCGTAGAGGTTCTTGTCGGCTGCATCTGATTGACCATCTCCGTCAATATGCTCATCAGCATCTTCCTCAGGTGGAACTTCCTCTGGGGCTTCATCGGCTGGATTGATTTCTTCATCCTTGGTCACCTCCTCCTCTTCCTCTTGTTCCTGATATACCCCACTTTCAGGGTGATCATCATCGCCTGCAGTGGGTACACCAGGGCTGGTCTCCATCTTGCGGATCCACTCATCATGCCCTGCCTCGTCCTCGGTCTCATAGTCTTCAGCCTCCACATCCGGCGGAGGGTCTTTATCACCCTTGTGCATGGGAGCAGCTGTTGCCTTGGGCTTCAGCGCACACAGAGAGATTGGTCCCGACATGGGTTGGCCACGCACTGGTCACTGGCAATTCCGTTGGTGAAAGTGTTTGTCAGAAGCCCTGAAATTGCAGTGACTGAGAATGAAAAGGATTGCTGTGTTGATGTGACGTGACAGGATGCTGGTTTCACTTTGGTGAGTGACTGAACCCTGCGAATATTGGTCAATTAGCACATGATTGTGTTTGGCCAGTGACACCGTTGCCGCGGATCTGCGATTCCGTGGGAGGTGCTGAACAACGGTGTGTTGACATGAAGAATGATCTGTTTTTACTATAGAATGCAACAGCATATATTCCCCCGACCAAGTGAGAATGCTAATGTTGTGGCCATAGGCCGTGACATCCGCCATCAAGTCATACCCATAGGGTAGCCTTTATGTAGAGAGCAAGAAGGACGGCGAGGGCACTGTGTCAGACCGTGAGCACCGATGCAATGCTCACATGTGATCAGTGGGGCTCTCCTGCAAAATGATGAGAACACACCTTTCAAATTTCAAACCATGTTTTCACCTGCGTACGTCTTGGAGATTCAATAAATTGAATATTTTACATTCTTTGACTCTGTTCAATTCTATGATGCAATGTTAAGGTTGCAACTGGCAATGCAAAAATCTGATCTCCAGCCATGTGCACGTCACCTCCAATTGGGAGCCCCGACTTTCTGTGGATGGGGATGGACATGATCCAAGATGGTTGTGGCCTCATGACATTAGACTGCAGAGTGAATGTTTCGTGCGTTCCTGTACTCGCAGTTGTGCCAGCAGATCAACAGCATCGCTGGGAATGTCTCACCAAAAAACGAACCAGTATTTAGATGGCATGCCAAGGTGCAACATCGGAAAAATGTTCAAATCAGTATGCAATATAACTTTCATCGTTCATGAATTTGTGATGCATGTCAATGTCACACTGGAGATGTTGCTATTCAAAGTCAGCTATAGCAGGCATGCCCCAAAGCTGCTCCCTCTGGGAGCCCTGACATTTGATAGATGTTGACCATGATGATCGAAGGCGGTTCTGGCCTTGCATCCGGCAACGGTGCGGTGAGCTACAGAAGATGGGTTTGCCTGCATTGGGTCTTTGGCTATCAACTAAACCAAGTTCACGGGGTTCACAAAAGCAGGGCACTATGTACAGGATTCCATTGTCAATACCAGTTGGAAATACAAAACGTATACAGTATCTGAGGGTCCAAGCCATGACATACTTGTCCAAGTCGGCCATTCAAGATTGGCCTGGCTGCGCGAAGTGCTATAGCAAGTTTCTCGCACGGCATTCTGATAACAGATCGACCCCAACTGGCAGGAAGTGCTGTTGATGACATCGTCAAATCCACAAATTATCATTACCAGCTGGAACCCCTTTTAAAATGAAACCTGTACAGATATATAACGTTTCTCCAGGGTTTGAAGTCCATACGATCTAACATTAATTGTTTGTGGAAACTGCACTGAACACATTGCAATAGAAGGGTGAACCCATATACAGGCTGCCCTGAGTCACGTCCGATTGGGAGCCCTGACATTCCATTGGAAGAAGGTTTGGCCTCATGTGCAACAGACTGCCGTGAACCAAACAGGAATACTGTATCCATCATATTCACGGACTGATCAGTTTCCCAAATTTCAGAACATGTAAGTGGAAACACCGTGCCATGAAAGTGGATGCACCATCAAATCTAACAAGTTAACTAACAGTGGTCGTTTGACATCACGTGGGTGAAGCCGCCAAATCAGCAGCGACTGAGCGTCCAAAGCCATCCACTGAAGAATTGCCTGGCTGCAGGTGAGACCATATTTACGTATATATATATATATATATATACGTATGCTGCAGCTAGCGAGGACCCTCTGCTAGCACAAGGTTGCGAGACAATGGCGTCTCTGCACCTACAGAATGCAGCAATCAAAAATCCCACCCATAGAATCTTGGGTGTTTTCCATGGATGGTGAACCGGCTAACTCCAATATCCAATCAACATTGTTTGCACAATCTCGGCATATATTGACAAGCCACTCTCCAAGTACAACAGGGTCTCGTCTTGCAGTCTTGTTTTGACTGCGCATGCCGGTCAAACTCGGGCAGCTATACTTGTTTCAAAAAAAATCTAAACACCACCCCTCATAGCGGGGAAACGGCGCATCAGCCCGGCTGATCAGCCCTCTTCTTCCTCGCTTTCAGATTCCTTGTTCGCATCATCGCCTTCCTCCTCACCCACTGTTTGAGCTGGCTCATGAGTCTTCTTGGCCTTTTTCTTGGGGGACCGTTTTGGCTGGAATCGTATCCTCTTCTTTTTGGGAGATTTCACGACATGTTCAGCGGCCTCACCGGCAGCTTCAGATGCAGGGGCAGAGTCATCATGAGGCTGAGCATCTGCAGCCTCACCGCCATCTGCCGGCATCTTCATGGCAACGGACAAGTAGTGCAACACATCGGTGTTGAGCTCCAGCCACAGGTCAGCTGCTTTGGTGCCCCACAGGCATTTTGCCTGGAAAACCAGAATACACATATAACTTATAACACGAGTTCCATGGCCAAGGTCTAAAACAAATGCTGCATTCTAAAAACTATAAGCTATAAATTGTTCTTGACAAGGTATTCCATTGTTGTCTCAACTGTTCTTGAAACCTGTCCAACTGATTTGTTTTGAAAGGGCCCTTGGCCTCCAAAGGGCCAACACACTCGGCATCTTTTTGCAGCACTGGCAGAGCGATCGTGATGTACTGTGCCACGATGAGGCGGTGATCATCCTTCGCCATCATGGAGTTTTTGGTGGGCTTCCACTCATCCCCTATAGCCTCTGCTGATAGCCGCATGGTCTCCTGATATCGACGATTGCACTCAGCATTCCTCAGATGGACAATGCGGTCATATTCTTTTCCATCGAGAAGATGAGGGCTTTTGGTCGCCCTTAGTTCTAGGCCTTTGCCTGTGAAAGCGATGACAACGCCTCTGTCAAACTTCTGAAAACGGAAGAAGGTGTGACCCCCCACGTCTTTACAATCAGGAAACCAATCTTTCTTGCTGTGGGGTGTCTCCACAGCAACAACGCGCTTGATTGCCCACTCCCTCTCCATGGAGCAATCTCTGCACTATGCGAAAAAAAATGATGGAAATTTGATTCTTTCAAGTCCTGGGACATTAATTGAGCCATGTATACAGTAAGAACTGTGCAAAGCAAGTCACTGAAGACACATGCTGGGCGTTCATGTTCAGAATAAATGTGCCGCCCTGTCCCCCCACTATACTTCAACAAAATATTTGATTCTTATAGTGAAACCCATCCAATCATCCTGACAAAATGACGACTACATTGCATCCAAATTGAATCGAGCCTGTGCTCTGCAGCACTGCGCACATAGCGCAAACTTTTTCCATTGCCGAGTTGCAATCTCTATATGCAATTTATGTGTAGCCTACACTTTTATAGGGTGCCACACCGCGTGGTGCTAGCAAACTTTCCGTTCATCCAAAATTGCAATCATTTCAAACAGTTGAATTTTGAAGTCCAATGAAGTTTGACAATATTTCTGCTCATGAACTGAACGGGAACAGCCACCCTTCAGAGCGAAATCTACCGACAGAATCAGCTACTCTGCGGCTTTGCTTGTCTTACGTCTCTTGACATCTTTCAACTCCTCCACTTGTGCTGTGACCTGTGGTGGCTTCGGCCTGTACAAAACAAGTGATGTTCCCTTTGTCACTGGGCAACTGTTCTGGAGGAAAGGAATTTCGACCCAGCCACCTAAGGTCACATCTTGTTTACTCAGGTCCTGCGACAAGACCAGATTGCAATCCTTCTTTTCGTGTTCAACCTTGATGTGCCAGCACGGCGCGACGAAGGTCTCTGTGACGTATGGCATCAAATAGATCTTCCAAACATCACCATCCTGCGTTGTGTTCCATGTTCTTCTATGGCTTATTTCATATACATCTTAAATCTTGAAGTTAATCAGCCAAACCATGCAAATCGGTGAAGTGATAACAACACCAGTCCTTGGAGCTCTTGCCAAGGCAAATGGAATTCGGGGGCACCTTGTCATCACCTCTGATGTCAACCCGCATGGTGCTGATTGGGATTTTCAACTGACGAGTCTTGTAATCCTTTGTTACAATGACATTCTTCGGTTTCGAGTAAACCTCAAGAGATAGGGATGCTTGCCCCTTCGCCTTCGCGAACATCTCCTTGAGAATCTGGCCCTTCAAAACTTGAACAAAGAAATACTTGTTGGTTTCCGGGGAATGCTGACTCCAGTTTTCGATCTTCACTGGGTCAGCTTTGACAGCCACTTCTTTCCATTCTTGTTTCAAGAAAGATTCTGCGGATGCGGACTTCTCAACGCCCCCAACCAAAAGCAACACATTGTTTGGGGTCATCTGCTTGATGGTTCCCTCCATGCCATCCGACTTTCTCTTCACCTGCATGCCGACTGCAAAGCCTGCGTCCTTCAACAATGCCGCATCGGCGGATTTGCCGCTGGAGTCCAATGCTCGCAGCCTTCAGTTTTTTCAAGTCGGCCCAAATTAAAACATTTCCTCTATATGTAGAAATAGCTTTCGAAAACTTCAGATATGAAAAGATCAGTGTCGGTTCCGTCTTTTATACGCCTAGGAGCGCTGTTGATTTTGGCATCTTCGCCTTTGAAGCGGCAGGCTTCGAAACATTCCCTTTGTCCTGTGGGCTGGATGCCGAAGCCACCCATGGAGATGCGATGCTTGGGTTCTTAGCCAATACCCTGAGATGCTCAATGAACATCCGACCTGCGTCACTGACAGACTGCAGTTTTGGGAGATCCTTGTGAACCTTCTTGATGGTTGCCAACACAAGGTTCACTGACATGAGGCCAATTGCATGCAATTTGTCGGAGTCTCCTAGCTGGTGTGTGGTGCAGAGCTGCTGAGCCAATGCCATGGCAGCCTCGGCATCCTTCATGCCAGGAATCATATTCCCTGCCAATGCTTTGCGGACGTCACCGATACCAAGAACCTTGTCCGGCACCATGTAGAGAGCCCTCAAAACACCTTAAGTGCCATCAAGATTGATGCAAATCAACATGAACCATTGGGCAAAATATGAAAGCAGCTCATTCACGATCAAGGCACAGTGGCGATATATGGCATACTGCTCAGTGCCCTTCAAGTCCTGGCTAAGAGCTGCAAAGACATCTGGCCCCAGACTCCTTCGAGCATGCCCATGTGCACGAATGCAACTTTCCGTTTCGTCCATCAAATGGCCAGAAACACCGCCGGAAAACTTCAGCACGAACCCAAACATCATGGGGCATGCCATAGCCAACGTTGGCTTGGATATCAGCACAGCAGTCTTCACATCGTTCCATGTGATGACCGTCTTGCCTTGGCCCATCTGAGCAACCACAGCAGCCCAAATCTTCCGGAGGAGCTGGAGCTCTGACTCCGAACGGCTCAGATGTGAGGCCACGTTCATGGAAGATTGCAGTAGGTGCGGGAGCTCAGGAAACTCATGAGGAATTTGGCTGCTGACCACCAGCCATGGCAGGCCCTCTGTGCAGTCTGCATGATAGGCCTTGTCCATCTCTGACAATTTTGCCAGTGACAGTTTCCCATCTTGGCCTGTGCATGCTGGGTTGTCGTGCATGACACCATGGATCCAGCAATTCAACCCAGCGTTCAGGTGAGAGCCTGCAACGCTCGCATACCTGATCAACTCGGTGTTGAGGCTTGCTAGCTTCCCTGCACTTTCCTTGTGCAGCCGGCGGTTGAAGTTCACAACCTCTGTCTCGGATGGATCCGTTTCGAAGCAAATGCAGCGAACTTCCTCTGGAGAAAATCCTACTTGCACGATGTCTGTGATGAGACCATGAACTTCTGATGTGGAGATGCCAAGTCCGTCTCTGTTGCGAGGATGGCAGCCTACCTGGTGAGGCAGAAGCTTCTGCGACCAGGCCAAACCCCTTTTCTTGAGAAGGGCGAGGATCTTGTCAATCATGCTCACCAGTTTCTCCCCGCCTTTCGCTTTCTCCAACAGCGCCATGATCTCTGCCTTCAGCTCTGCTGAGATCGCCATGGCAGGAACTTTCCGTTGTTATACCTTCAAATCTGAACCAAATTTCTGCAGTCGGCAGATGCGAGTTTACTCTGCATCTAGAGATGCGATCAAAGACCTGCATCCCTCAACAGCAATTTGATTGCGCGACCTTTCTGGCACATGGATTACCATCGCCACTGAAGGTATATATATGACCAAGTCAAACCTCTTAAGATATTTGGCCAAATCAATTTTCCAAAAGCACCCCTTGTCAGAAGGCGCCTGCACAGGCCAACGCATGCCCACCATCGACGATCGGGGTGGACCAACATCCAGGAAAATGATGATTCAAAGGAAAAATCATTGCACAATTTAAGATACACAAAAAAGGTTCCACCAAACCATATTCGTTTCGTTCTCTGTTTTTTTTGGTTCCGCTCTGCTCATCATGTTGTACTTTGCAAGATGCATGGGTTGAAAGATATCTGAGCCAAGGCGGTTTAATTTTAAAACATGATTGAAATCATTGTTTTCGCACCAGGACACACCCAAAAACAAACGTAACAGATTTCAAAAAAACATATTTGTATTCCATGGCCTCTGTTCTTTCACCCGCTGGGCTGCATCTCAAACCCAAATTGGCACGTGAAAAAACAAAACATCCTACACCAAAATTGAAAAACATCATGCACACAAATGATAAAAATAAAAATTCAGCCCGGTCCAAACACAAAATCGCTCCGTGTGAATTCAAAAAAAGCAACCTGCACCAACCCAAAAAAAAATAATCCCATGGTAATTTTCCTATGTTCTGGGATCCCTAAATCAGACTTAGCAGACTTAGCCAAAATTACTAAGTTGTACTTAGGGGAGTTATGTAAACTTTCTAAGTGGGACTTAGACAAGTTATGTAAACCCCTTAAACCCATTTATGCAACTTACTGTAACTCGTCTAAATTATGTATTCCACTTAGGCTAACTCTGCTATATCGACACATAAAGTTAGCTAATCGAACTATCTACTTATGCGATATAGTAAACTTTAGTAACACATTCGAAAAGTTAGTATCTAGATATATGTTTTATGCCACTTAAACGATATATAAGTTTCATAAGTATAACTTAAAACACTTATAACTATACTTAGCAGACTTATGTAACTCATGTAAACCATCCAAATATTTACTAAACCCCATGAACATCCAAGCACAGCTTGCAAACGCGCTGCTGTGGCCACCACCTGTGCCGGCAGACTCTTTTTTTGGGGGTTCAAGTGTGCCGTTTGGCCGCCTTAAAAGGCTGCGCAGCGGCTCCACACAGCTTGCCAACGCGCTGCTGTGGCCACCACCTGTGCCGGCAGACTCTTTTCTTGGGGGTTCAAGTGTGCCGTTTGGCTGCCTTAAAAGGCTGCGCAGCGGCTCCACACAGCTTGCAAACGCGCTGCTGTGGCCACCACCTGTGCCGGCAGACTCTTTTCTTGGGGGTTCAAGTGTGCCGTTTGGCCGGCTTAAAAGGCTGCGCAGCGGCTCCACACAGCTTGCAAACGCGCTGCTGTGGCCACCCCCTGTGCCGGCAGACTCTTTTCTTGGGGCGCGCTGCTGTGGCCACCACCTGTGCCGGCAGACTCTTTTCTTGGGGGTTCATCTGTGCCGGCACACTCTTGTCTTGGGGGTTCAAGTGTGCCGTTTGGCTGCCTTAAGCTGCGCAGCGGCTCCACACAGCTTGCAAACGTGCTGCTGTGGCCACCACCTGTGCCGGCAGACTCTTTTCTTGGGGCGCGCTGCTGTGGCCACCACCTGTGCCGGCAGACTCTTTTCTTGGGGGTTCAAGTGTGCGGTTTGGCCGGCTTAAAAGGCTGCGCAGCGGCTCCACACAGCTTGCAAACGTGCTGCTGTGGCCACCACCTGTGCCGGCAGACTCTTTTCTTGGGGGTTCACCTGTGCCGGCACACTCTTGTCTTGGGGGTTCAAGTGTGCCGTTTGGCTGCCTTAAGCTGCGCAGCGGCTCCACACAGCTTGCAAACGTGCTGCTGTGGCCACCACCTGTGCCGGCAGACTCTTTTCTTGGGGCGCGCTGCTGTGGCCACCACCTGTGCCGGCAGACTCTTTTCTTGGGGTTTCAAGTGTGCGGTTTGGCCGGCTTAAAAGGCTGCGCAGCGGCTCCACACAGCTTGCAAACGCGCTGCTGTGGCCACCACCTGTGCCGGAAGACTCTTTTCTTGGGGGTTCAAGTGTGCCGTTTGGCGGCCTTAACAGGCTGCGCAGCGGCTCCACACTCTTGTCTTTAAGAGTACTGCCTTTTTCTGATCTTGAAAATTATTATATAAATTGTCGGTGGGTGATAAGAAAAATAACTTCTGTAACATATGAACTAATCTACTTATTCATACTCATTTCACTTGCAATGGGCTACAATATGTTATATACAATCCGGTGACTGACCATCACTCTTGGTCATTTCACCCCAACAACACCCCACCCTTCAGCCATGGGTTCTCCATAAGCAGCATCCTCTGCTTGTGGTGACTATGGCTCACTCTTTCGCACAGGGCAACATTTTGATGAACCAACGCAGAAATAGGACATCACCAAATTATAAATAAATATATATATATGTATATGTCTATCGATCTGTCTATCTATCTATCTACCTACCTACCTATCTATCCATCCATCCATCCATCCATCCATCCATCCATCTATCTCTCTGTCTGTCTGTCTGTCTATCTATCTATCTATCTCTCTCTCTCTCTCTCCCTCTCCCCCTCTTTACAGGACCCCCCAAATGGGGGGTCGGCGGCACCAGGGCGCTAGCCCATTCTATTAAAACCCAATAAAAAAACATCACTCAAACAATTTTTCAAGGGGGTAGTCCATGAGCAACCCTGGTCCACAATAGTGTGGATTGTTTGGGGGGTACACTATTGTGTCCAGCTGTTTCCTGGGGCGATTTTTTTTCAAACAATCCCTTCACCTTTTCCTTTGCTAAAGTTGTTCTTTTACTTCCTGAACTTTCTTAATTAGTTTCTTTCATTTGAAATTCTCAGAAATGCACAATTTCCCAAGCTATATGATGCCTTATTAAAAGCCAATTAAAAACATCACCCAAACAATTTTTCAAGGGGGTAGTCCATGAGCAACCCTGATCCACAATAGTGTGGTTTGTTTGGGGGGTACACTATTGTGTCCAGCTGTTTCCTGGGGTGATTTTTTTCAAACAATCCCTTCACCTTTTCCTTTGCTAAAGTTGTTCTTTTACTGCCTGAACTTTCTTAATTAGTTTCTTTCATTTGAAATTCTCAGGAATGCACAATTTCCCAAACTATATGATGCCTTATTAAAACCCAATTTAAAAACATCACCCAAACAATTTTTCAAGAGTGCAGTCCATGAGCAACCCTGATCCACAATAGTGTGGTTTGTTTGGGGGGTACACTATTGTGTCCAGATGCTTCCTGGGGTGGTTTTGTTTCAAACAATCCCTTTACCTTTTCCTTTGCTAAAGTTTTTCGTTTACTTCCTAAATTTTCTTAATTAGTTTCTTTGATTTGAAATTCTCAGAAATGCACAATTTCCCAAAATATATGACACCTAATATTAAAACATCATACAAACAATTTTTCAAGCGGGTGGTCCATGAGCAACCCTGATCCACAATAGTATGGTTTGTTTGGGGGGTACACTATTGTGTCCAGCTGTTTCCTGGGGTGATTTTTTTCAAACAATCCCTTCACCTTTTCCTTTGCTAAAGTTGTTCTTTTACTTCCTGAACTTTCTTAATTAGTTTCTTTCATTTGAAATTCTCAGAAATGCCCAATTTCCCAAACTATATGATGCCTTATTAAAACCCAATTTAAAAACATCACCCAAACAATTTTTCAAGAGTGTAGTCCATGAGCAACCCTGATCCACAATAGTGTGGTTTGTTTGGGGGGTACACTATTGTGTCCAGATGCTTCCTGGGGTGATTTTTTTCAAACAATCCCTTCACCTTTTCCTTTGCTAAAGTTGTTCTTTTACTTCCTGAACTTTCTTAATTAGTTTCTTTCATTTGAAATTCTCAGAAATGCACAATTTCCCAAACTATATGATGCCTTATTAAAACCCAATTTAAAAACATCACCCAAACAATTTTTCAAGGGGGTAGTCCATGAGCAACCCTGATCCACAATAGTGTGGTTTGTTTGGCGGGTACACTATTGTGTCCAGATGCTTCCTGGGGTGGTTTTGTTTCAAACAATCCCTTTACCTTTTCCTTTGCTAAAGTTTTTCGTTTACTTCCTAAATGTTCTTAATTAGTTTCTTTGATTTGAAATTCTGAGAAATGCACAATTTCCCAAAATATATGACACCTAATATTAAAACATCACCCAAACAATTTTTCAAGCGGGTGGTCCATGAGCAACCCTGATCCACAATAGTATGGTTTGTTTGGGGGGTACACTATTGTGTCCAGCTGTTTCCTGGGGTGATTTTTTTCAAACAATCCCTTCACCTTTTCCTTTGCTAAAGTTGTTCTTTTACTTCCTAAACTTTCTTAATTAGTTTCTTTCATTTGAAATTCTCAGAAATGCACAATTTCCCAAACTATATGATGCCTTATTAAAACCCAATTTAAAAACATCACCCAAACAATTTTTCAAGAGTGTAGTCCATGAGCAACCCTGATCCACAATAGTGTGGTTTGTTTGGGGGGTACACTATTGTGTCCAGATGCTTCCTGGGGTGATTTTTTTCAAACATTCCCTTTACCTTTTCCTTTGCTAAAGCTTTTTTCTTTTATGGTATTTCTATGGTATTACTATTGGATTTCTATGGAATTCCTATATGGGATTTCCATGATGTTTCTATGATATTTCTGCAGGATTTCTATGGGATTTCTGAAGGGATGCTATGGGAGTTCTATGGTATTCTTATGGGATTTCCATTGGATTCCTATGGGATTTCTATGGTATTTCTATTGGGTTCCTATGGAATTTCTATTGGATTCCTGTGGGATTTCCAAGGTATTTCCATGATGTTTCTATGACATTTCTAGAAGATTTCTATGGGAATTCTTTTGGGATTTCTTTGCGGTTCCCATGCTATTCCATGTTATTTCTATTATGATCTTTCTATGGGATTTCTGTGGGATTCCTGTGGGGTTTCCATGATATTTCTCTGGTCTTTCTATGGGATTACTATTGGATGTCAATTGAAAGTAAATTGAAATCAATTGTAAGTAAATTGAAAGGAATTCAAATCAATTGAAAGTAATTTTAGGAAAATCTTGGGCCTGCAAACATTGGAAATTCCAAAATAGTTATTTTGTCATTTTTTTGCATTTTTGTTGCATTTTTTTGCATTTGGGTTTGTCATTTTGGATTTGTGTTGTCATTTTTTTGTCTTTTTTTTGAATTTCTTTGTCATTTCTGTGTCATTTTTTTGTCATTTGTTTGTCATTTTATTGTCATTTTATTGTCATTTTGGGAACGGGAAAATGGAGAAAAAATATTGTTTAAAAATGACTACCATGACAGACCTTTTGTTATCTCGTGGCAGCACCAAATACAAGGAACAAGTGGAGAAACTCTTGGAAAGCCAGCCGGCGGTGAAGAAGGATAGGGCAGGGGAGCTTGCCCTGGGGAATTCGTTTTTGGGCCTGCCTGGACGAGGAGTTGTCTCCCGGCTCGGGGTGCAGGGCCGGCTCAAAAACCGGGTGGGGGGGCGGGGCCGGGGTGAAATGGCCCGGGGGGGCAGCTCAAGCCCGAGAAGCGGGGCCGACCTGGAAACTCCAAAAACGCAACTTTACCAGCACGCGAGTCATTTTTTTCGCATGTTTTTTGCATTTTTTTGCATTTTTTTTGCATTTTGTTTGCATTTTTTTCGCATTTTTTGCATTTTTTTTGCATTTTTTTTTGCATTTCCCAGACTAGGAGTCATTTTTTTTGCATTTTTTTGCATTTCCCAGACTGGGAGTCATTTTTTTGGCATTTTTTTTGCATTTCCCAAACCGGGAGTCATTTTTTGCAATTTTTTGCATTTCCTAGACCGGGTTTGCCACCTTCACCGCTTGCCTGATCCTTATGAGAAAACGACAAGAAAATGAACAATGCTAGAAAGTAGAAAACGACAAGAAAACGACAAAAAAATGACAAGAAAATGACAAAAAAATGACTTAACAAATGACAAAAAAATGACTTAACAAATGACAAAAAAAATGACAAAAAAAATGACACCACAAAACAGGAATGACAAAAACATGCAAAACCAAATGACAAAAAATGACAAAAATAAATAACCAACAACCCTCAGAGTTTGCTGGTAAGATTTCCATAAAAGTAATTAAGTTGAAATCAAATGAAAGTAATTAAATTGAAATCAATTGAAAGTAAGATGAAAGTAAATTGAAATCAATTGAAAATAAATTGAAATCAATTGAAAGTCAATTGAAATCCATTGAAAGTAAATTGAAAACAACTGAAATCAATTGAAATCAATTGAAAGTAAATTGAAATCAATTGAAACCAGTTGAAAGTAAATTGCAACCAATTCAATTCAAAGTAAATTGAAATCAATTCAAAGTAAACTGAAATCAATTGAAAGTAAATTGAAATCAATTCAAAATAAATTGAAATCAGTTCAATTGAAAGTAAATTGAAATCAATTCAAAGTAAATTGAAATCAATTGCAAGTAAATTGAAATTAATTGAAAGTAAACTGAAATCAATTGAATCAATTCAAAATAAATTGAAATCAATTGAAAATAAATTGAAATCAACTCAAAGTAAATTGAAATCAGTTCAAAGTAGATTGAAATCAATTGAAAGTAAATTAGAATCAATTGAAAGTAAATTGAAATCAATTCAAAATAAATTGAAATCAATTCAAAATAAATTGAAATCAACTCAAAGTAAATTGAAATCAGTTCAAAGTAGATTGAAATCAATTGAAAGTAAATTGGAATCGATTGAAAGTAACTTGAAATCAATTGAAAGTAAATTGGAATCAATTGAAAGTAAATTGAAATCAATTCAAAAGAAATTGAAATCAATTCAAAGTAAATTGAAATCAACTCAAAGTAAATTGAAATCAGTTCAAAGTAGATTGAAATCAATTGAAAGTAAATTGGAATCAATTGAAAGTAACTTGAAATCAATTGAAAGTAAATTGAAATAAACTCAAAGTAAATTGAAATCAATTCAAAGTAATTTGAAATAAATTGAAAATAAATTGAAATCAATTGAAAGTAAATTGAAATCAATTGAAGTCTATCATTTTTTTGATTCCACACTATTGTGTACCCGGTCCCTTGTTTTTTCCACACTATTGCGTATCCAGAATTTGTTTGGGGGGGAGGGGGGGGACCCCCCTGTACTAATCAGTAACCTACATTATCTACACATATAAATATTATTCCAATTATATCACGGGTATACTGGTATACTGAATATATTATGTTGGTCAAACTCGTTTTATTGTCAAAGAGTCATACATGTATGACATGCAAACTATGTTTGTAGGTGGCCACTGGCCATCATTGAAATGATCACAGAATCTGAACAGAATCGGCGGCAAGGCATGGCATTGAGGTATTGCATCCCAGCATGGAATGTCCTCCCGCACAAAATATTGTGCCATGAAGGTCTGCAACGCCGCGTGACCTGTGGATGAATGTTGCCTGGAATGGTTTGTAACACGAATTGCACCTTTATGCATGCAATTTTCTACTGTTTCTCTGCTTAAGGTGTTGGTTTCTGCGGCCCTGCCTTTGTTTCCATAAAAAACCGCAATCTGACCTGCACATAGACATTATGGATCACATCACATGCGTTCGAGGATTGCCTAAACATACCAACGAAGCTTGCAAGTTGTACGGGTGAGTCAAGAGTTGAAGCCACGGCTTTGCTGCAGTGATGATGTTGTCAAATGAAAACATGATACCCCGCTTATCACAAGCACCACTGCCACCGCCCCAGCTTCCCAAAACCAGAAAACAATGGCAAAGGCAAACGCGCAAGTGCATGCGCGCGCCCAGAGAAAGACACACATTTTCACTCGCAAAATGCATTCCTCCAGAGAAATAGTAAATATTGGTTCCAAAGAGAACACACCTTGGAAAGTAAGATGCATCTCCACTATACAGTAGAGTATCTTGACGGAACATGCAAGAGTGCAGCGGAGAAGTTCAGGTCTTGAGTCATGATGGTCATGTAGTCCCAAGACAGAATATTCATACTCTCTTTTATGTGGCAATTCATGTCAAACTAAAAATATACTGTGTGAAGTCTGGGAAATCACTGCTCAGGATTGTTCAGGTATTTTCACGTGATTCGGTTACAGTACTACGCTCCATTGAAAGAAGTGAGCCACCTTTGATAAACACAACTTCAATCCATGTACAAAGACTACTTTAGTTGGAAAGGGAAGGAGCCGCCCTGGTTTGTTGTACAGGCTCATCTTCAAGGTTACGTTTGACATGCAGTGTGAGCACTCGGCTCAGTGGCGGACAAAGCAATCAGCGCTTGTTTTGGTGCAAACGCGAGGCCCAGGCCGTCTTGAAGCCGAAAGGCTAGTTGAAGGACCCATGCGCTTTACAACTGCAAACGCATGCTACAGCTTTCGGTCACTGTGCTGTTCCGTTTGTCAGCAACCTGAAAATTTTGCTGACCGACCGAAAGCTCTACCTCTTATTATACCCGACTCTTCGCCGGTCCTCTAACCTCGCATCCAACGTAACCGCTTCTTCAGTCACGCTAAACTTTCCAGTCTCTAAGAGTCGCAAAAGAGGTCCGATCCGGCCTCGCTTCTTCGTCAAACAGTCCGCTATCATGTGCATGCGATCTATCCAACGCGCCTTTGTGAAACTCACTAAGCTCCTCTCAGCATCTGCACGTCAAACGCTGTTCTCCTGTCCGCCCCGCCGCCAGTCTCATTGGCTAACGGGTCGTAGAGTGACTTGGCATCCACAATGGCCAAAGCACTTTCGACTTGTTCGGACTACGCTTCAGTCACTGACAGTCTTCATATCTCATATCTCAGTAATCAGGGCTCTCCCGCGGGAGCGGCCCACGAACGAGATCTTATGGGCACCCACCACTCAAGAGCCTACGGGCCTCCATAATGATCTCATGGCAAACAAAAAATAAAGTAAAACGAAAAGGGGAAAGCATCAGAGGCCGCCCCCCAGGCCATTCAGATCTCTGCGTTCGCTTTCCACAATAGCGCCTCCCTGGGCACCAAGAAACCAACCCACTCAGTTAGCGCTTGTTTCTCCACTACAGGCAATCCTTTGCTGCCTGCTTACATGCAGCCACCAAGCTGGTGCTGACAAAGCGAACCCGTTCAGCGAAAGATTCAACCGGATCCAGGTCAAACCAAGATTCCCTTTGTGGCCGATTGACCGGCAACCTATTACAAGCCAAAACGTGCTCTATTCCGATCCTGGGAAGATAACAAAAAGGGCATCTGGGAAGTTCCTCAACAAGCGACTGCGTGCTGGACACGCAATGCGAAGGGAAGGCCCCCGTTATCCTTACAAAGGACCAGATTCTAAAATGGTATCACATTGGCTTAGGCCACATCACAGTTTTGAGAAAGCGTAAGAGTCGCAGGTGGTGTGAGTCCCAAGCAACTCTGACACTATGGGTTGTTTCCCACAATGCGCTTTGTTCCTGGAAACATTTAGCCTCGTGTCTTTGAAAATGGGGGAGCAAAATTTGTGTTTTCCAAAGGTGCACAGCCCGCTTTACATCGCTGTCCAGTCCATGGCGTAGCAGTTGCGCCACACCAGGTGTTTCAAGGAAATCGTTCTTAATGCCAAATAAGTGTGCCAATTCCTGGGTGTGAGAGAGCCACGTTGATCCCTTAGTGACCAAAGCCGCCCAGATTGGAGTTGCCGCTTCCAAGTTGACTGGGAGACATAAGAGTCGTACCCGCAAAACCAAGATCCGAAAAGCCAGTCGCGTTCCCAATCGCCACCGCATTCCCAGTTCATGCATTACCCGACTCTGACCCCCAACGCCCAATGATGCTCCACTGCACCCTAACAATTCTTTGCATACCATATAGTGGACCTTGTTTACTCGTCTAGAGAGGGCTGGCCATCCCTGGGCATGGCTTGCCAAAGCGACTGCAGCATGCAATGCTGCTGGCTCAACTCTGTTCCATATTTGATCAACTTGAAGAAGATGAAGAAGAAGCCCTAGGGAATGGTCACGACAAGTGGAAATTAACCCTTGGGCTTCCTTTAGAAACCTCGCGCAGCATTCAGCCACCAAAGGTTCAAAGGATAAATTCTGATCTACCAGCACCCCCAGCACAGAGACTTCATCCACCAAGCGGGGTCGTTGAGCGTCAGGAATGTGTCTAAAGTCAATTTCATTCCGCGTCCAGTTAACCGGTAAAACCACCGGACCCTTTGCCCCAGAAGCAAACTTGTGTCTCCAGAAGTGTGTGAAAAGGAAATCTGCGATGCAAGAAGATGACAAACCAAACATTGAAGAGTCTAACGAGAACGCATCATCAACAAATTGGAAAAAATAAAAATTAACCTGAAAGGGAGCAGCTTCTTCCAATGCAAGCAATCTTTCAGTCATTGAAAAAAGGTTGATTGAGTGGTCTACTTGATCTTGTGTCTTCATCCTGTTCACAAGTTGTACAAGCTGCGGAAGGCTCCAGATCCGCACCATATCCACATGCACATCCGTTGCTACAGGTGACCAAACTCGCTCAACTTCAGTCTTTGTCCACCCCATCCCTACTTTTGGAGAAGTGCTGTAGAGGTCAGCCAGTCCCCGTGTTAAGGCTCCAAACAAGTGTACCGATGTTCGTTTGCCCTGCCCAATAGCAAACTCAACCAGTTGGTGGATGGGCCCCACAAGATTCAAAAGCCTTACCCTCACCTTATCCTGGCTAAAATTTGAATCAACGAGAAGCCAATCTCGTCCTTGGATCTGAGCACGCGCTAAATGTACTAGACATCCACTTCTCCAACTGAGGTCAAAGCCTTGCAGTAGATCGGCTTTCTTTAACAATGTAGGCAATCCCGCTGCTGTTCGCAGTTGTAAACAAATAATCAAGGATAGTGATACCACTAGAGCATCCACGCGTCCACCGTGTTGATGTGCTCCCAGATAGATGTCCAATTTCTGTTTGTTTCTCCAAAGCCAACAGGCATCAAAAATACACTCTAGTGGGCAAATATAGGACACTGGTCTTAAATTATTTAAGTTAGAAACCTTCATAGGGCCTTTCTTGCGAATAGGCGTGACCTCCCGCAGCCACGAGCTTGGAGTGATGCACATATTTGCAACGAGGTTTACCAAAGCCCAAATCACTAGAAGCCCTTGATCCGTTTGAAACCGCAGAGATGCCCGAGGCAGCCTAACTGCCGCTTTCTTCCGCTGCAGCACTCCTTGACCATGGTCCAGGAAGCAAATTCTGAAGCCTCATTATCCGTGTGCTTTAATGCTGCAGCCCGAATCTGCACGACCTCTTGTCGGACCTGTGCATGAAGCGTTGGGCTACCTGCTTCTGCTTTGTCACTTCTGTGAAGGAGATCATGTTCGATTTCATGGAGAGCTTCATGTAGGGAAAGCTCTTCACCAGTGGTTGGGTCTCTCAGTCCCATGACGAGAGGAAGCTTTGGGCAGATGCCGCGTCATGTAAGAATAACCTCTGTAATTTAAGCAACTTTGGTGCATTGAATTGTAAATCAATTTGAGCACGAACCTCATCATCCAATCCATTATCCTCTGTATTATGCTCAGTGGCGGCGTGAGACAGCAGGTCTTTCAATGTATCAGAAATTTTGACCATCTTTCCGGTGCCACAAGATAACCTAACAAGGCGTGTCATTCCCATCATGTGGCCCACCACAACCATATTCGCACAATACCACCAATCAACTAAGTCTACCAATCGCTGCCTCAGTTTCTTTCGAGCCCCTTCTGTCACCCAACGTCGCACTTGAGGGGATTGTGTAAGGGTAAAGGCCCAGGCTGCAATGAAAAACATGGATTTGCTGCATGTGTTTGTCGCTTCATTCCATCCCGCGTGTTGTTCCCAAACTACTTTCTGGGTCAGAGGTTCCTCAGACGCACCCAATTTGCATTGGTCCACAGCGAGGATTAACGGGTAATGGTCACTATTGAGAAGTTGTCTGTTTGAAGCAACATGAACTGAAATATTCATGGCGTGATGAGAAAGGGCAATGATCCAAAACCGCACCATCCTTGTGCGTGGGCACCCCAATAGGGTTCCGTGGTTTGAGGTTGAATCCATCCCGATGGGTGAGAAGCATCCAAATTTCCCGGTCAACTGGTCGACACAATCGGTCATCCTGTTCAGAAAAGCCGCTCATGTGGATGTTCAAATCACCACAAATAAATAACTGTGCATTTTTCCAACGTTGATTGCTCCGAAGTTTGTGCAGTTCCACTAGCCGTTGTTCCCAGAATTCCTTCCTTTCAGCCACCAGACGGTTTGGTGGAAAGGCGTATGCCGCAAGTCCTAGTAATCTGACCTGATCTTCCCTAGCACTAAGACCTGAAATCTCAAACCAAATCGATCTTGAATTGCCCACTCCTTCTAGGAGCTGAACTTTAGGAAGGGCTTCGTTTAAAACAACCAAAGCAACTGAATCCGGATCGCGTGATCTCTCACCAAAAAACTGTGCCCCTGTCCATCCTGGCCATACCATACCTGTACCACATTGCGGATCCGACACCACCGCTATTGCAGCTCCTTCTATGTGCATGAAATCCAGCAGCTTGGCCACATTAACAACATTTGACTC